TCTGCTCTCACATATACAGAAATGGAAAGTTAATAAAGTTGAAGTAAGTTGTAAGCATTTTAACAAAGCCTAATAAATAAATTACAATTCAAATACTGAATTAAAAATATTTGTCAAAAAGAAAAAAAAAGAAATAAAAAATAGAGCTTACTTAAATGCAAGTTTGTGTATCTTGAAAAGCAAAGGAAATATCTGTGGGAATTGTGCTACAAGACAGGATTGAAACATCAAAATGTCAAACAGCAAAGAAACACTTTAGGCCTATACACTCAGTTTAGGGTATTTTCGTGTACATCTATTTCTTAATGAATGTTCTGTCAATACTGTAATCCTGCAATGCTGTTGAAGGTGAAACTAGACGTATACAATGATAGAGTGTGTGAAAGTGTCGTTCCTACAGACCTTCATCACATCAGTTCAACATGCTAAACAGACTCGCACTAAAAGAGCCCAGCACTGCAGTCAGGCCAGTTTAACTCTTATCTGAGTTATAAAACAGAAGAAACAAGACAGCGCTTATAGCATTAAAAGCTGATGTGTTTACAGCCTGATTCTGGATTTAATGTTTTCTAATGCTGTTTCTGGGCGAACTTTTTAGCTGGTTTAATAGGAGAGGTGCTATTCCGTCAGCCATGACTATAGGTGTGATCTACTTTTTAAAGACCAACTCAAATACATTTATTCGTTTAGCTGATGCTTTTATCTAAAGCAACTTACAATTGCTATATACTGTATGTCAGAGGTCGCATGCCTCTGGATCAACTAGGGGTTAATGGTCTTGCTCAGGGACACATTGGTGTCTCGCAGTGGATTCGAACCTGGGTCTATCACACCAAAGGCATGTGTCTTATCCACTGCACCATCACCACCCCACCAATTAAAGTTGATCTACAATTAGATCAACCAACTAAAAAAAAAACTAAAAAAAAAAAACCACACAGTTTAGTTTAAAAACAAAATGAATTACAAATGCTCATCTTCTCGATTCTGAATTCATTAAACTGAAACACCTCCAGAACAATAGAATACCATAAGCAGGGCATTTAGGCTTCCTTGTTCTTGTGACTTCTGGTATAGTATCAAACAGGCCTCCAAATTGCCATTAGTCATGGTGGAACATTGTTTTGATTTAATAATCTGCATGTGAGAAAAGGCTGATTCAATCAAGTAAGTTGAGTCAAACATTGCAGTCAAAGAGGTGGCACATTTTCTGATATTTGGATACTTTTCTACAGCAAGAAGGTTCGAAAACTGTGCCCTTGCCTTCACCTGAATTTCAGTCTGCAGTGCTAAAATCTCTTCTAATGGGACTGGGTTCACATGAAACATGTCTGAGGTCAAGGAATCAACCTCATGCTCATCTCCAAATGGAAAGCATATGAATGTAGCGAATGCCAGAAGTAAAGCAAAGTCAAAGTCTGTCCTAACCTTTTCAATTTGTTCATTGTGTTCACTATCATGTTGTGCAAGCTCCTTTTCTGGCTTATGCAGTTCAGATGCAAAGATTTGAAGTACCCGAATTTGTGGGGTTGTAGCTTAGATGGAGCTCTTGGACGGCACAAAGTAGGCAACCTACTGTAGTTGTCAATAAAACTGAATAAACAAAAATCTTCTCTGGTCAAATGCAGGCAGAAAATAAAATGAGAATGAAAGAATTTATTTATTTAATGAGAAGCATATTTACATTTTGTGCTACCATTGCCTTTACGATCGGCTGGTAGATTGCGATCAACCTATTGGGCAAATAAACAAAATTCAGACGGTGAAGCCATATTATATTATGGATAAGGATATTATGGCAATAGTGCATTATCTAAAATGATCTGGTCATCCTCACTGACCATGTCTGTACTGCAGCAGCTAGTTTAGATAAAGTAAATTAATATACTGGCTTACAGTATGTGTTTCTCAGTGTATTGTTGGTGAATAATCAGGTTGCTAATGAAAAGCCCTCACAACCCCTCACAAACAGAACTAGCATCAAGAAAAGAATTAGTGCTGCTCATGTTCATGTTAACTAGCCCTGACGGTCGAAGTGTTATCTAATGAAGGATCTTTATTAAGTCTTTTCCGTGGTTTGGGATTCAGCGTTCCTCGGGTTCCTCAGAGACAAATACAGTGTAATTGAGGAATTATTAATGGAGTCATAATTACATCAGGTGACGTTTACAATAACTACAGTATGGAAATGTCTTCGCCTGAGGGAAGAGTTGCACTCTAGATTCAAGGTGATATTTGTTAACTAGGTGTTGTGTGAACAGATTGTGTCCAATATGGCAGCAGTTTCAGTTAAGAAACAAAAGCCTCATTTTTATTGATCGGAACAGAATCAGTGTATTGAATTGGAGTGAATTGAATGTGTTCCTGAACAATTTGTACATAAATTATGCCTCATTTTATGTCTTCTTGAGGAGACGTGTGCAATTACTTTTCTAAACTATCAGAGATAGATAGATAGATGAAACAGAGTGAGGTGTGAGGAACATGAATAATTGCTTTAGTGGAGCTAGTGGAGGTACTGCTCTCTGAAAACACAAGCTGTTTGTTTATTTTGATCTTGCTGTTTTTACAGATGCTCTTGATTCTGTCTCTCACCATTCACTGTGCCCCGGTCTACAAAAAAAAAATCCTTCAGCATTTTTTTTAATAGTGAGAAAGTGAATGACAGGGAGCGATATAATTTCTCCAACTTTGCATCAACATAATCATCAAAATCATCATCACCATCATTTCTGTAAAGTTACAGAACTAAACCAAAAATAACCTGTTCAAGCCAACACAGCAACAATGTACAGCTTTATATATCAACTACAGGCCATACACCTGCCTACACTGACAGGCTCAGTGACTCTCCACTTTCTAAAAAACAAAAATTATGGAGATACCACGGCCCAATGCTGCTATTAGGTAAAATAGAATTATTGGTATACAAATATTGTGGTACAAAATGATTACAATAATGTTTTGGTGCTCGAATCCCCAGAAGTGCTGTTAAAGTATGATGACAACACTGGGACATTTTCTGCAGGTTACATGGTTATGCCAGTAGGTGTCTGTCTTTAGGAGTGAGATTGATTCATCCAACCGATTTGTTCTAAAACACTGATTCATTCAGGAACGAATCAAGTATGAATGAGTAAATGAACCAAGAAAAAAAAAATGGAAAAAAGTGAGTAATTTCATTCACCCAAATTATTTGTTTAAAACACTGATTCAATGACGAATCAAATGTGAGTCATGAATCATTCAAGATGAGTTATTGAATCACTCAGTCCACTGATTTGTTTAAAATGCTGATTCATACATCACTACAGAATGTTACTAAAGAAGAGGCAATGTTCTGCTGTTTTTTGGGGAAATATTTTCCAATGTAGCAAAAACAGGAAACAATATTGTGTCTGCAATGTAAGGTTTCTAATCATGTTTGCTGAACTTGTAAGCAATAACACTGACTTTCGTGTTGTTTTTCCCTTAGGCTATTTCATTATTCAGTAAAAATACAAAAAACAAATAAAAACAATAGGTGTGCTACGTTGTATTTAAATGTAGCCTACCATTATATGAACAAAAGCTCATATAGCATAGCCTATGTATACGCCAATGACTACAAGTTAGTTAGCTAAAGTTATAAAATCCTTTTGTTTCATTATGTGTCCTATTTAGCTCAAAATCCTTTTGTTATAATGTAGCCTACTCTGATAAGGATTAGTATTACTTACTGGTTCTGCCTTGAGGTGTGTCAGGGGTATTCTGGTATCTTTCTATCTTGAAAGTCCTGACGGAGGGTTGTTGAGTTGAAGTAGCTACATCTCTGATTATGGTACTTCTCTCTCTTCAAAAGCATCAGTCGTGTAATTGCTGTATGAGTCTGTGTAAAAGCCCAATTAAAAGAGCATCAGGTCTTTCGCCCATAAAGCACATTAACAATGTCCAGTTAAACCTGCATGGTCTGATTCAGATTTAGTTGAAGTCATTTAATAGAGCAGCTCTTTCAGTCTCTCACCTTTGCGTTGCTGTGTTTATTGTTCATTTCCTCTTGAATGAGCTCGCGCTCCATCATCGCTATTTAAAACTAAAAGTGAAATATTAATCGTGTGTGAACGTACAGTCCTAATGGGGACTCGTGAATTATCAGGGAAGCGTTTGAATGTGCATTTTTAACGCGTCGTCGATTCCCGCCTCAGTATCTGTCGTCGTGACGATTGCAGCATATCCAAAACGCCACAGCTGCTTTCATTCAGTCGAATTCATGAAACATGCAAATAAGGCAAACAGACACACACCAGCCCGGCGGATAATCATATTACAGCTTTCCACAGTTCCTCTTCCTCTGTGGCTGATTAGAAGACGTGGATTTAACAGCGGCAGAGGTTTAACCGCTTCTCATTGGCATGTGAATCGTTCCTGAGACGGGCTGATGGAGGTGGAGGCGTTGAAAACAGCTGATTCTCTGTCTGCTGTTTCATTGATACACTGTTGAGTAAATTAGCTATTTTAAATGTGTTTGGGGAGAAATATTATTATAGAACTGCATATCTTGTTGCTTTTCTGTGTCTGGTTTTGGCTTTAAAATTCAATAATCTTTGATTATAGCAATTAGATGATAAAAACATATTGAAGGCTAATCCACATAATCTTGGATTTGAGTTAATGTACATATACTTTAAGCACTTCTGAATGCACATTAAAACCCATTATTTCATTTAGAATATATAAAAATTCAGCTTTGTGTCACAGGAATAATTATAGCCTATTTTAAAATATATTTAAAATAGAGAACAGCTATTAAATAAATATTACGATATATTTTTACTCCATTTTTGATCAAATAAATGTAGCCTTGGTGAGTACAAGAGACTTATTTCAATTACACAATTCCAAGTATTCCAAACTTTTGACCGGTAGTGCATATGCTTAACAAATATGTTTACATTCTCTGTAAATTGCTTTACAATCCTGTTTTCCCGTCATTGAGCTTGGATCTCCGTCACTGTGTGCAGATCTCCTGGCGGTGCCGAAGCATCCGTATGCAGCCATGGAGAACTGGGGCCTGAGTGTGTTTGTGGAGCAGAAGATCTTGTTGGATCCTGACGTCTCCTCCTTCTCCTATCAGATGGAGCTCACTATGGTGGTGGTGCATGAGATCTGCCATCAGGTAAAACACACGAGTAACAAGAACATGTGATCTGCTGTGTGGTTTCACAGTCAAACTTTGGTTTGAACAAGTCAATAGACTATATTATATACAATAATACGATACATAGCAGCGGTAACACTATTAGATGTGTTAGTCTAAAATAATGGACTAATTTAGTCCAGTCATATCAGCAGATCAGTCAGAGTCACTATCCTGGCATCTGGTGTCAAAATGCTGCATCTCCAACTTGAATAGAGCCTGAAAACGACCAATTCCATCTTATCCGCGCCTGTTCCAGCGGTGATTCAGATTTTTAAAAACATGATGCAGCGCCATCACACAATAAAATATTTTCTGTCTTAAGTCAGCATGTCCCGTCAATGATGTTTAGTTTGCTCTGAGAAACATAGAGCATCTGTTACTCTTAAAAAAAAGCTGGTTACACTTTATTTTGATGGTCACTTTAGACGTTCTACTAATTTTAAGTAACTTTTCAACTACATGTCAACTAACTCTCATTAGAGTATAGTATATTATATTAGACTGTTAGGTTATAGTTAGGTGTTAGGGTTCGGGTTAGGAGAATAATAGTATAGTGAATAGTGAGGTGAATGTCTGTTGGGGGACCAACAAAATAAAGTGTTAGCAGATATTAAGCAGACAGTCTACTAATACTCTAATGACAGTTAGTTGACATGTAGTTGAAAAGTTACTTATAGTAGAATGTCTTAAGTGGACTATCGAAATAAAGTGTTACCAAAAAGCTTCAGTGGGAATTGAGGATCTATATGGAACAATAATAAACTCAATTTTAAAGAATGCATTGCAAAAACGTTAAACTTGCTTCTTTTTGTTACTACTAATAAAGTTTGTTTACTTGCTGTTTAATTCATTAAAATGTTATTAAAATAAAATGATTTCAAACACAATTAACTAATTAAAACTAAATCCATCAAATGATCCCATGATGGTAACCCCTAAAATGTTCTTATATGAAGTGCCTAACTAAACTCTTTAGGTATAACCTTTTCTTCAAAAAGTGTATATTCATAATTATATTACATTTTGAAGTCCATGAATGGTAACCCATACTCGGAATGCGTCCCCTGCATTTAACCCATCCAAGTTAGTGCATACACATTAGGAGTAGTGAACACACACTCTGCAAACCGTGTAGACACACACCCAAAGCAGTGGGCTGTCATTTTGATAGTACTGAGAATTGAACCAGCAATCTTCGGGTTACATGTCCGACTCACTAACCAATAGGCCACGACTACCCTGACTGCCCCAGCATATCAAATTTATCACCTTCCAGACATCCTTTCATTATCTAATTGCAGAAGACAGAGAAAGGCAGAAAGAGAAAACTCCAGGGGTTGGAGAGTAACAGAGAGTGTGAAGATGGTCAGTTGTTAAGTTAAAGGGCAGAATAGCAGCAGATGTAATTGGACATCTGGAGAATTTGATGCACAGCTCTTGTAAAAAGAGCTTCACGCATCACCTCCATTGGGATTGTGAAAGTAAGGATTTCTTTTCTTCGTCGCTCTTTCTTTCTCTTTTGCTTCCTCTCTCTCTAGAGTGTTTCGTGCATGCACTTTCTTCTGTTTATAACCTATTTTCCGTGTCTTTGCATCATTGCAGAAACAAGCAGTCTGGGTTAAAGTGATTTTTTTCCTTTCTTTTGCCATTGAAATAATGTTCAGTAAGTGACTGTAAGCCCACAAATGCATCATCGGCATGAATTTTAAAGGAAACTATGGAATTGTTCATTGCATGTGCTCATTTTTCACCAGCCTTTGTTTGCATCTCTTATGTTGCTGAGAACCTTGGATTTTAGTGCCTTTTGTTATGGCGGATTATTGATGAGCGTGTTGGAGATGTTCTGCGTTCCCAGTATTGTCCTGGATTCATCTCTTGAATAGTCTGCTGCTGAATCGTAGCTCTGCATTGTGGTCCAGCTTAAAGATGATACTGCATGTCTGCAGTTCTTTCCTCTTTTTTTTCGTTTGTTTTCTCTTTTTTGTTTAATTTTTAGGGAGATGAAAATAAAAGAAAACAATCCCCTCATCTCTCATTTCTGCACAGATAATGCAGCTCTGTCTGAACTCAGTCTGAACCTGGTACAGTAAAACACTCTCACAGGGAGCTTGACATCATGATATTATTTCAGAAACAGCAATAATGTGCATATTTGATAGTTTTAGAGCTGGAATTCATGAGAGTAACCCAGATCAGGCTGTTCTCTGCACATAAAGCCCTGTTTTATGATCAAGAATAATTGAAAAGAAGCAGCAGTGATGGAGGCTGGAACTATAATGTTATCCATGATGTTTACAGATAGAAAACTGAAGTTTGTCCAATGTCCTGAAGTAGACATTGCCCCCAAATTCACATTTATCTATGCGTACAACACGCTGTAAAAGTGTTTATGCTAAAGAAATATTATAGATCTTAATATACAGCTTTGAGCTGCACCCTACGGATTCAAAAAGAAACAACAGAATATAGTTTATTTATCTTTGAATTCAAACTCTATATGTTTGAAATAATGTTGTTATGATTGACACTATATTCAGTATATTAAAAGATGGATGCATGTGCATTATGTGAACTGAAGTGCCAATTAAAAAAAACAGAATTTACAGTCAGAGCAAAGTTTGAGTATTTGCCGCAATAGAATGTTAGTTCCCATTCGTTTTAAAAAATACCAATCATTATTGTAGATTTCAGTAGATTTTAGGTCATTTGACTACATTTTATCAATTTTGATGGTCTACTTAAGACTACTAAGTAACTACATGCCAACTAACTCTCATTAGAGTATAAGTAGACTGTAGTAGACTGTTAGGTTAGGGTTCAGGTTTGTATAAAAAGTTGACATGTACTTGCAATTATTTATAGTCAGAGGGCTACTAGAATGTCTAAAGTGCACCATCGACGTAAAGTGTTAGCGTTATTTATTTATTTATTTATATGTGTTGTGACCTCAATTGTACACTATTTCATATAAATAGTATGCAATTTAAACTGATGTACGGTAGTATGCACTACAAAGTCAAGCACACATCTTATTTTATTAGCAATGGAATATCAAATTTTGGTAAAACAGAGAGCTCAGTCCCAGTTAATAGTGAATTAACTAGCGATTTCTTTTAACTTATTAAATGCCCCCATATACTAGCGTATACGCTAAACAATTTTTTAGAGATAGAACTCTTTACATTCGATTATCATGAAAACAAATCTCAGAGAACGGTCGACTATGTACCAATGTGTCATTAGACCAAAGGTTCATTTTGCGCCAGAGTTGTCCTTTAGCAAAAAAAAAAAAAAAAAAAACCCGATGTGTGGAGTGTTGGAAACCTCGTGCACTCAACTGTCACAACTTTAATTATGTAGCAGATGGGGAGGGGCTATCAGACTCCAATGTTGAATGAGAAAATAACCTTTTAAAATTCATACAATACACAGTTGAGTACATAATGCGTAACACACTACTCATACTATTTATACTACAAAACTGCTTAATAGTGCATAAGTACTCTAGTAAAATAGTTACGAATTCCCATGAAAGCGTATTGATGCTAACTTAAAGCATGTAGTTTGTTAAATTTGTTTTTAAACACAAGTGTGCATGTGTGAGTGAGTGAGTGTGCATATGAACAAGAGAAAGGAGGAGAGACAGAGAGAGTAAAAGGCAGAGATTAGCCGTCACGCGTATTGAATTCGCCGCAGGCTGTTTCACCCTGTTGTGTCGCAGCTCTCTCGAGCTTCTGCTCATCTTTATGGTTTTAATTAAGATGCCATTTTTATAACCTTTTCTCTGCTTCAGTCTCATGCCCATCATTTTCATATAGCTAGAGTTAAATAGCACACTGCTAATTATGTCCTACTGTAAATTACCTTCAGAGTGGGCGGGGCTTATGCTTCTGACATATTGATGGGCTCCTCCTTTATTTTGAAAGTATTACATCAGTCCTCATCCAGCACATATTCTGTAATACATTAAAAAGTCTGTCTGAGCAAGCGGCTTATGATAAATCACATTTGTATCTCGTCGCTCTCGCGGACTGGCAGTTGAGAATTGATTAGTAGATGATAGACTGTGTTTTGTATTGTAGGTTTATCCTGTGGACTCTCCTGGCCTCATTTTAATGTCATATACTGTAGCAGCCGATTGTTAATAGATTTACCGCTGCCAGCGATGGGGTTTATATGTCAGAGACGCTCAATCACTGTTAATTTCTTATCTCATTTCAGCCTCTCAGAATTAAATGAAGCTGCCACAGTCCTTCATTTGCAGTTATTCAGCCAATAAACAAGCGTAATAGAGGCCGATGCAGCTGATGCTGAGTTTTCTTATTTCCCCACATATTGGAGAGGTGACATTCTGCCCTCTGGATATGAATATGTTTGGAGAGTGAGGCTTCAGTTCTCATACGTCACAGTAGCTTTAAAAACACATTTTGACATTAAATATGAGTTACACATTAAATATGAGGATAAATGGAAATGTATTCTCTCAGGGAAGTGAATCTTGTTTAAATGACTCACGTCTGTTGGCTGGTGTTTTATTCTATGCTCATTTATAAAAGACAGCATCCGTAAACTAATTTCACACTAATGTAACATTTATTTGTCAGAACTCTCATTTTGAATTCTGACAAATAAATGAATTTTGTCACTAAAACGGATGGTTTTAAATTCTCTCATTGTGATTTGGAGTAATTTCCAGTTCAGTTCAGGTTTATAGAGATTCAAATTTACAGATTCATTTGACTGTCTTTGTTTATCTGGAGCTGCTGTTGCAACTAACAACAAACTCAAGTTTGTATTAACTCTTGTGTATGTTAATTTTTTGTGCTTCCTTGTCATTTGTTCATCATTGCTTTATTTGTCGTGAAGCCATTTTGTGAAGCCATCAATAGACATCCACACTGTTTAGCGTCCTTCATGTTGGTGTACCAGCCTTGCATGCCAACGATCTGGGTTTGAGGCCGTCTCGAAGCAGGGCGGTTTGGATTGGAGGGTGTGCTTTGGAGGCGGAGCAATGAAGAGAGGGTTTGTTTGTTTTGGTTGATTTCAAACATGAACAATGTTCAGCAACGACTTTGAGAAATAACATACTGCACCTTTAACTTAGTTAAGGTAAAGAGCATGATAATTCATATGGCGGACTGCGATTGGTTCTCGCTGGCTAGCTTGGTTACATCAGGACTGTGGGGACATAATTGTGCCATTTTATTGTTTCTACAGATTAAAGTATGGTTCACACAGACTAAAAGTGCTCAAAGTCATTTACAGTAATGCTTTTTGTTGTTGTTGCACCACATCCTCTAATAGTTTTTTATCTAGAGCCAAACGCACTCCATTCAAGCTCTTTCCGCTCCGTGTGCGTTGCTTCTCTCTCCCGCTTAGTGCCACATCAGTGCTAAATTGGCACCAAGATTCTCCAAGATGCTCATCTTTGATGGCTATTTTGAGTGTTTTGGATTTTTTTAGTAAGCTAAGTACTTTTTGTTTGTAAAGGACAATGTTGCTTGTGCAAGAGATGCATGTTTTATTCAATGGGCTGTATAACATTTGAACTTGTACTACAGCTTCAGGACTTCTTTCTTGTGGTTTTCCAGTTGAGAAAGTAATGACGTTTGCCCTGCAGTCACAAACCTGATCCTGCAGACACTGTCAAACCTCCTTGCTAAATGTCAATGAAGGAAATTAAACTCAATTATTCAGGCTTTTACTGTAAGTACGCGACTGCTAGTTTGGCTGAAGGCTTCAGTGTGATTCTTCAGAGGGATTCTCGGTTGCTTTGGTATGTTTCATGTCTAAAGGTTGTTTTTCTAATTATGCCGTTGAAGGTTTTCTCCTGCTTCAAATATACAGTATATGCTGTAGTATAGAGGTACCGAGTTCACTCATCCCTGCATGAATCCCGTTAGTGTATCTGTTAATGAAGCAGGTGGGCTGCAGAATCCCTCTGTTTCTGCTTTTTTCTCACTGAATTGTTGAAGGCGTAATTGAGCAAGGGTCTTCCGGTTCGTACTGTTCATTGACGTTCTTGTTTTTGAACTGCTTAATCAGGCACAAACACAAAACTGTCAGAAATCCAGGCTGATGAATGACTTTTTTTTTTTTTACACCGCCATTATGGTTCATGTGCTGTCAGAGTATAAAAGCAATGTAATGACTTGAGCAGTAAAAATACTGAAGATCTATTTATCAATCTGTCTGCCTGTCTGCATTTGTCTGTCAATTTATCTATCTCTCTTGTCCTGGCTCATTGTCATTAGAATCAGAAGAGTGCAGAAAACGTCACTAGACCTTTGGGAAGCCACTTGTGTGACTAGTAGAGAGTTCCTGTGAGAGCAGGATAACAGCTGTTTCTCTCCACGCTGCGGTTCTTATTTCAGTCCATGTGTCTGAGTCACAGATGAACGTCCCGTCAGGCGCTTGGAGAACCTTTGAGCTGCTGTAATGATGTCATGTTCGGATGAAAAAGGCCTTCTTAAGGTTTGTTTAATGCAACAGTAGCACACCTGCTTGAGCCTTAGAGCCTGTGGAAAATATCCAGCTCATTCACAACTGTAATGTTGCATCCTTTCCAGTCAGAAGCCTTGTTTTGCACACTGTCATCTGCACACAATGGCAGGGATTGAATTTGTTCTACCTTCCAAAGGGGACGTTTCATAATCGATTCCTTATTTTTATCTCTTCTGTTCATTTACGGTGTCCTTGGCAGAGCGTCCAGGTATGAATGCTGTGAAACTGAAAATGTGTTTTAAACTGTGTAACTGTAGATAATTGATTGTTTAGGCCGCTATTAATCATAGTTCAGAAGCTCTGCTGGTTTCTAAATGTTCCATGAAGCCTTTTGTGAACAACTTTTCTGTTGGACCAGAGTGCAAATGTTTATTAAAAGTGTTTGTTTGTACTTATACTTCTGAAGGAAGAGAGTTATTTTTCTGCTGTATTGGAGTTTTCTAATAAAACATGTTTGCCACTAGATGAAATATGCTATTGGATGAATAGGAAAGTTTATATTTTCCTGCTAGTTTGTCCAAATAAAGTTTGGTTTCAGTTTACCCATGAACACTTTTCTTGTACAAAACAACAGTTTGTCAAATTGTTTGGCGGTGAACATGAAATCGATTTTTGTAATGGTCCCTGTGTTTCTCGGTTGATGATTGATAGTTCATTTCTTCTCTTCTAGTGGTTTGGCGATCTAGTCACACCGGTTTGGTGGGAGGACGTTTGGCTGAAGGAGGGATTCGCTCATTACTTCGAGTACATTGGGACTGATTTCCTCTTTCCAAAGTGGAACATGGTGAGTTGCTGCTCAGATGTGAAAACTATAATTTCATTCAAAGATACGTAACTTTGAATGGAAAAAGGGTGTGATATGAAACAGTTGATTATACTGTACATAGAGAGTTTTGATGCTATTCAGATTTCTAAATCTCCTAAAATACTGTAAGTGCACATATTCAATGCTTTCCATATACACATGATCTTGAGCATTTCTTCTTGTGCCAAGATTCAGCTGAGCAGAAAACTAAAACATTTTTACGGTTCATTTGAGTGCTATAGATACTTTGATTGCTCAATTTTGCCTGTTACATGTTGATAACAGCCTCTCAAGACCAATACATCTCACATTTGATGGATGTTTACTTCTTGTTTAATCTGATTCATATCAAATAAAAGATAAGAATGCAATTACAGTTATTTGGCTATTTCTGAGCAGCAGGGACAGATTCTGTCTTTTTTTTTTTTTTTGTGGTCTCTCTGTGGGTTGAGTTGCTGTGTCCAGTGATTTCTCAGTGTTGGGTCAGTCTGAATGTAATTGTATCACTGCCTGGTCAGTGTCACTCAGCATGACCAGTATCATCACATTAAAAAAGCTAGTATAAAAAGCCCTTGTTTTTTTCGCATTGAATTTGACCAAGAGAGTCAAAATATAGATGTAGAAATAAATTTGACTTTACTTTAGAAAAGGTGATGAAACCGATTGCCTGAAAATTTCCAAGTAATGTTGTGTCTTAATTTTTAGTTGGCACAACTTAATAGCATTTGTATAGAAACCATAACTGTAGAGAGTACTTGATAATTTACTTTAAATAAAATGCAATTGTTATCATTTTTGTGTTTTGCATGCTGAATGTTGAAGTCTATGCAACTCAAGCATGACCAATTACAAGATTGTCACAAATATAGAGGGATTACATAAACCCAATTAAAAGTTTCACAGGGTGTTTAGGACATAAGTGTTCAACATTCAAGATGACTTGAAGTGAATTCAAAAATAACTGAAGTGGAGGAAATAAGTGTAGTCTATTAAGAATTTCTCCACCTCATAAAAAATGCACTCAACCAATCAATTAATCTTAACATGGGTTTTCTGAGTAAACAAAGCATAGTATGTGAATAGTACAGATTACAAGATAGTTAAGATTACTAGTTTTAGTTAGAATCAGAATTCGGTTTTACTGAGACATGTACAGTAGATGCCAGGTTGTATTCGATCTTGCAGTCAGTAGTGAATTATTTGATTTATTCAACAATGATCTTAAACAAATACAATCATGCCAAAGGCAATTCATACACATTTCAAGACAAATTTTCGAGGATAAAATACACAAAAAAAGCCACAGGGTTATTTCCATTGAGGTCCTCTATATGCATAAAATGGACAAACGAGTGGGAATAAAATCAAAAACAAACATCTTACACCTTAATATATTCATACGGGTTTTTTATTGGAAAGCCATTTTTTAACTTCTCCTCTAAAGAGTCATGCCTCTTGTAATTGTTTTAAGTAATCTGGAAATTCATTCCAAGCAACACAAAAAGTACAAAAACGAATTTCTCCCAACTACACTTTTAAACCGATACAAATATATATTATGTATCCTTGCCCTTGTAGAAATACCATGACCATCTCTCACAAAAAAACATTTTGTCATAAGTATTTAGCATCAGTTATCTGTATTATTTTGTACACCATCATCATTTTAATAAAAATTACCCTTTTATCCACTTTTAAAACCCCAATTCCCTGAAATTATTATTATTCAGATGCGTACGAGGAGGTAACTCCAGAATGACCTGGTCTGAGCAGTATGTAATTTATTTTTAACTCGTTTCTTAGAGCCACCATACCAGAAAGTTACTGCAAATGTGGTTGCAATGCACAAGCTGTCTTGCTAAAAAATTTATTTGACTACTTATTTTTGATAGACCTACACCTGCCATGCTATCCCCTGTCATTCACATTTCCCACCCTTATTTCTGAACTGGGACATTTCTTCAATTTCGCCTCTGAACCAAATGAAATTTAAAATTAGCAGGCCAAATTGAGGCATTATCAGCTTGTAAAGAACATATTGTTCCAACTGTTTCAATGGTTATTATAAGCGCAGTTTGAGTTTGACTTCATGTGCTGAAAGAATCATATTTTTAATGGTGTTGAGCTATTATCATGTCTCTATTTTTCAGTCCTGCTGCATTGCCACAGCAACCAGTGATTATGCCATCATATGTTGCTGTTTTAATGAAACTTTAGTCTATATGTAGTCTCTTCCAGATGTTCAATCAATTATCAGAAGAGAGCTGTGAAACAACATTACAGTGCCACATACAGATTGGGGAGCTCGATCATAATGCATTCTAAACAACATGTTTAAACATTCTTACCTGTACTTGTTGGCAAAACGTATTTTAAAATTTGCTAAAATTATTCATTAGGAAAAGACAAACTACATTAGAGCCACACCTCACCTTAAAAAACCTGCTAATTTACTGTGGAGCTTCACAGAGCTGGAATTTGTGCCAAAGCTGCCATTGAAGAAACACTGGAATTGTAAGAGGCCGCCATACATCAACCAGAGCAAATCCAAACCTCTATAAATAAACTGCAATGTAAAAAAGTTTCATGGTCTAATGATTCATCCACATCCATTTCCCCCATCCAGATGGGTTCACGTTGGGAGAAAGACAAAGCCTGGCTTCAGTTGACAATGCTCACTGTCTCACAGGAGTTAATATGTTCAGTGATGCTCTGAATTGTTGTATAACAGCCAAGAATTATGAGGCTATTTTCCCAGACCAGGTTTGTCCAAACACACAATCATATCATGATATTCCTATATTACAGGATGATAAATAAATCCAGGAGTGTTTGTGAACACCAGGAGGAAGTCAGACACATTCAAAGACTTCTTCTTCAACTGAACATTATTCATCTTTTATGAGAATGTCCCGAGTCACGAACAGGACATACACCTTATTTCTCTAAAAAAAATCCTTCTTTTTGAAGAATGATGCAGTCCTGCAGTTCTTCCGAAGGCCCCTTTATTCATTATGATCTGAATATTATTACATTTTAGGTCTGTGTCTCTGTAATGTTGCTATTGTGATGCATTTGAACTGCATGAACAATGTTTTGCGATAACGTTTTGAGAACATTATTACTGTAAAGACCAGATAACTTTGAAAAAAAAACTTTCTATTAACCTTACTGGAAGAACGTTTGTTCATAGCTTTGAAAGAAAATTGACGGACTTTGGTGAATTTCTGAGAAAGTTCCCTATTCCCTTTCTTTACTGTGAATTAGCAGTCTGATTAAATATGTTTGGATCTCCTGCTCATTATGATTCACTGACTGTGTTCAGTTTTATTATGAGCTAGTGTGAAGATTGTCGTGTGTTCATCACAAGACCTGACATGTCTTACAGTAGACTGGGCACAGTGTACACTAAGAGTGATAAATGCAAAGAGTAAGTGCTGACGACATCTAAAGCAATACATTTAGCTTTGTTGACATTTAATACCAATAGTTTATTACATTCGTTTGTCATTTAAATTTTTAATGTATTTATCTAATTTGAGTAAGATATATGTCAGTATCGCACCCTTGTTTAATACTTGATTGTGATTTCTGCTCATACACTCATTTTCATTCTCATAACGTCCTTCCCATCCCATCTGTCCCAGTATTTCTCTGCTCAACCTTGGTTATGGAGCATCGGCCAAGCAGAAAGATCATTTAGGGCAAATCATTTCAGTGAGCAATTGCTTCTTTCTCAGCCGATAAGTTTTGATGGAAACACTTCAGTGCCCTGATAGGATGACTGTAAGATTTTCCCTACACAATTTGGTTAATATTACACATTTCAAGAGTCTAAACCTGAAGTGAAAACTCACAAATGCACTGAGAAATGTGGGAATGGATTTGACAAGAGTCCATAACAGGTCATTAAAACAGCCGGTCCCTTAAAACCTGCTCTCAATACTGGACTGTTGGCTTTCCTCCTCTTTCTCACATCCGTCATAGAGAAGCTCTCAGTGAGGTTTAGTTACCCATCATGCATTGCTCCAAAGCTGCTGACCTGAACGCCTGGCATCACTGCTGAACTTTGGCCTTAAAGTGTTTGTTCAGTGAGAAACTTCAGGTGATAATGTTGAGACGTTAATAAGTAGCATCTAAATGAAGAATCATTGGACGTAAACACCTTGTTGAGAGCACATATGGGCCAGATGGAAGCTCTTCTCATTGCACTCATTTTATATTGCCCACTACGTGACTCACATAAAATTAGCTTCACATCACCAGCTGTTCTCTTTCTGTGAGAGACTATTCACATTCACCATAATGTATGTTAGGACGTAACATGAAGGGCCATTTGCATATATCAATTATGTCTCTATACAGTATTTACGTTGACCTGCAAAGCTTATAGTAGTTTGGACTATAAAGTGACTGTCCATCAGGAAATACTGAAAGTAAATACATGAAACACGTGCTGTTCTCTTCTACAAGACCACTTAAGTGATGGTATAAATAGCCTGAGAAATTAGGACACTGATTTCAAAAAGTAGCACTTTCTCTAAGATCTTCTCTCTGAAGTTAAAAATGAAGGATAAATTATTACAGCAGTCCATTAAGCAAAGCATGTTTCAGTTTTTATGACACACTTATCTAAAGATAATTATACCTCAGATGTAATTCTATTGTAGGAAGTTTCACCCTTCATTGGCTGCTCAAAAAGAAAAGATTGTATGAAAGCCATACAAGATAGACATCAAACAACAATCACACATCAATCTTAGTTTGGTGCTCAGTTAAATAGTCTCTGTGTTGATGTATTGATTGTCTGTATGTCTCGTGTCATTTCATTAATCTGCTTTTAACATCAGAATATGAGATTGTGATTGTGGTTTGAACACATGAAACCAGGAATCACTGGGTTAATAGAATATGCCTCATTATTTTGACAAAAAACTATGAAGGGTTTTGATGATCATTTGTTTCTGGACTTATTTCCACACGTTGTTTGTTGGAGCTCAAATCCCTTGATTAAAATATCTTGCTTTCTTGGATTAATGTCTTCAACATGATTTTTAATCAAGCTGCCAAAAGCTTTAATGGGCAAGAGTTATTCATAATGACAACGAATAAAGGTATAATAAAACATTCAGAGTATCAAAACTAGACGTGTTTATGTCAGCTGATAGTTTGGTGACTTTATCTTAGTCACTCACTTTTAATAAATACATGTGAACATAGTAATAATAAAACAGTTTTCTTAAAAGTAAAAAGTTTTGAATTCGGTCAGTCAGTGCAGACATTTTGCCAGAAGGCCCATTATGAAGATGTTTAGAATATTAACCTGCAGAGTAATACTTTCATTTATAATTCATGTGATTCATATTTCATACATTTTAATGTACGGTAACTGGCAAACCACCACTTTTAATGAGTAACCGGAAAATAGTGTGTTGTGTGAGTGTGTATTTAGTTTAGCAGAACATCTTTTGGAAGTAGAAGTTGATGTACAAAAATGGAGCAAGTAATTATTAGTGTATTCATTGTGGTGTAATTTCTCATTATATTACATTTTTTTAAGCAGTTAAAAATTAGAGTTCCTTAAACAATGGAAATAACCTGGGATCAGAGTAACATCTTCCTCAAAGTGCTGCTGAACAACTTACCGTATTTGAGATCGTGACTCTCTGCTGACGCAGACTCAGTGAATGATGAGGGTCTTTTTCATCTGACCCAAAACTTCTGCCAATCTTTATAGTGAATCCTACAGAGAGACATTTGATCAGAGAGACAGCAAGACCCCTGCACAACACACACACACACACACGTGTGGCGACAGTGAAGGTTCATCGGAATAAATTATAGAAGCTTCTGCATGAATTAAGTCTTCAGTCTTGAGAGATTTTCTAATTTCATTTATAGAGCAGCTCAAAGTTATTTCTACTTTTGAAAATAAAACAGAAGTTTTTATGAGACATGTTTATGTGTTTGATACTGTAAAACATGAATTAAGTCTCTCGTCCACAGGAGAAGCAGAGGTTTCTGACTGATGTCCTTCATGAGGTGATGTTATTGGACGGTTTGGCCAGTTCTCATCCGATCTCTCAGGAAGTGTTTGAAGCCACAGACATCGACAGAGTGTTTGACTGGATCGCATATAAGAAGGCAAGAGAATCTCTTAGAAACTCCTACAGGATTCATCCGCATGATGTGAATGATTATAAACCTTTAATATTGAGCTGAACTGAATTTAAAACTGTTTTATACTATACAACATGAAGTGAACACATTTTTTTTTATTCGGCAAAACATTAGAAGAGGAGCAATGACTTTGTAAAACAATAGTATTGTTGGTCTAAATCAGTCATTTATTTATGTGCGGACTTCACAACTTTATCCTTTATTGAGTCCAGTATACACCTCAGTTTGCCTGTTATTTAATTTGCTTGAGTTGCACTGTTATAAGCCTCTTCACATAGGCAAGAAAAACACTTGAATTAAAAGCTTGTTTTTTAGTAAGTCGAGGACAGAAACATGTTACACTGAGATTTTTTGTGTGCTCTGGGGACTTTAGTGGCATAATAAACATTCATCTCAGACCAGACAACATCTATTTAATTACCTCTTTCTCACTGAAACACACTTTACTGTAAAAAAAACTCCAGCGCCCAAAAATATCCTCTCATCCTCTCATCGGAAAGCCATTAAAGACACAAAGAGCAGGACAGAAATATCTTTGTCCTCTATCAGAGTTCAGACGCAGACAGAATCTTCCATCCACTGAAGATTTTATATTCTGTGTCAACTCTCCCTCCAGCTGTCAATCAGCTCATGGCTAGTTTGTGATTGGCTCTTGCTCTTCCTCAAGCCCCTCCCCCTGTTTCCCCACAGGTTCTGTTGGGTTATGAACTCTGTCAGTCACACTGACACCCGACCGTCCCTCATCACTTCCTCCCCGCACTCTATATACTCTGATATCCCACAACATCCAGTCCCCAGCGCTAACAGGAAGTGACACTCATCACACAGATTGTGGAAGGGAGGGGAATTAGATGCTGTCAAATGAGCATGTCAATGCCACTCAAATCAAAAAAGAGACAGACTCCTAAAACAGCAGAAAACAGCAGGACGAGTGTCATGGAGTCCTTGTTTAGATGAACCAGACCTGCTAGAAATTGAACAGTTCCATAATAACTGAACTGTTTTTATATAATGTTAAACATTTTCTGCATAACCAGAAGCTCATCCTCCTTGAACAGTCACGCCACTAGAATTATCATTTTGACAACTTTCCTGTTCAGATAACACATTTCGGAGTTTAAACTCTACAGAATATGTTGCCCCATTGACTTCCATAATAAGTGGATTCATGTACATTTTTAACATTTTTTAATTATTTTCTGTGGTAATCTATGGCACATCAGATATGCTGTTTAAAATGCTGAAAAAGATGTATATTTTGTTGGGTTTTGTATACACGTGTAAATAAGCGGTCCGTTGAACGTGTTTTTACTTTGTGTCCCCAGGGAGCCGCTCTGATCCGGATGCTGGCGAACGTCATGGGAAAGACGCTATTCCAGAGAGGCCTCAATGTAAGTCGGTAGTTTTTCTTTCATCTTCTCTCTTTGTGGTCAGAAACAATTTCACACTTATGTATGTTTTTACTCCTAATGTGTCTTTGTATGAATTATACATACAGCATCATAACAGGATTGTGACATAAATCCAAAACTTTTCAATTAACATTTTTTTTTTAAAATTCTGACCATTTAAAACTATCACAACAAATGTTAATTTCTCCATCCTCTTCAGGTCTTCTGAGAGTCACGCATGTTTTTGCTACAAGCGTTTGTCAGATTATTCAACCGTGTCGGTTTACATGCGCTTCTTATCTTTAGAGCTACAACAGCTTGCTTTTTTTATGTTGCGCACTTCTGTGAAGCTTGAGGTAAAAGTGACACAATCAGGCAAGCGATTAAACATGTTCGAGACAGAAATTAATTTCATATCTGAAATAGTCCCAATCAGAAGTTTCAGAATCATTCTCTGTGTTAAAGCTGTTTACAGTCATGTCTTAGTCAAGATCTGATGAAACACATCAATTGTGTTAAAGCACAAGTGTCTGGTATTGCGTCGATGTTGGTGAACGGAGTGTCAGCATCAGCTTTTTTGTGCTGTTTGTTTTTAGTCACATGGTCACCTTCTGTAAAGCTCTTCCTGCGTCCCGTCTTCCAGTTCAGGCCCCTCAGGAGTGAACATCTCTTGTTGTATTAGACAGTATTCATTGTTGTTTTGGACACCATATGGCTTCTACATGAAACTACATCCTGAAATGTGTTAAAGGATTTGGCCGTGAGCAAACAGGCTGCAGGTTTGAATTCAGTGAGAGTAAATCTGTGAAACAAATAAGTGTTAAATATAAAACCCTCTTCCTGACATGTGAGTGAACACACTTTCAGTGGTGTAAGACTCAAATTCAGATTTCTCCTTCTAAATCCCCAAAAAATCACTTTTCAAAACATCAGTAACTTCTCATTTCATTTCTTTATGACTGAGATGCTGTCAGTTTCAGAGCTTTTTCTGGGTTATTTTTGACGTTGTGGTTTATTGTTGCTCTTAGTTGTTGAAAGCACAATCAGGTCATGTTTTCTGCAGAGCAGATTTAATGCTTCATTTACAGATGTAACAGCTGCACATACACGCTTTATATCGCATCACAAACACACATCTGACCTGTAGACTTATGTGTATAATGCATACATGTTGGACTGGCTATAAATGGTAATTACTGTGTTTGCTTTTGTCCACTATCTACTAAAGTAAACCTGTGGTATTATTAGCAACATCAATATTCTGGTTAGCGCAAAAGTAAGAAAATATGGCAATCAATTCTGTCTAAATCTTGGTTAATCATTTTTAATTTTATAAAATAATTGGAACACAATAAAATAATACAATTGTGCTTAATTGTATATTTGAGCATTGTCTCTGCATTCGGCAGGTATAAATTGGCTGCTGAATATGATTTTTGCAGTATGAAATACCCACTCTGCTCATTTGCATACATTTGCATAGCAGTAAGGGACCACCCAGAGCAATTTTATGTTTGCGATGACATTTTCCACTCTGCTTGGCCTATGAGTGTGTATATACTGTATAAGTCTCCCGGGATCCATCTCTCCTCTCTCATCTGCTGTCTGTGTTTCTCTGTTCATTGAAGATCATTTCATTCTCTCAGTGTCTCCCTTTTTCTCTGTGTGGCATTTATTCTCTTCCTCGTGTCTCTGCATAATTGAAGCAGCAGACAGACATTAACCATTCCCTCTCTCTCTCTCTCTCTCTCTCTCTTTCTCTCTCTCTCTCTGACTGTGAGGATGAGGGCGTCTTTATTGGTAAATGGTGGATGGGCAGGCGGATGAATGTCTGTTATAAAAGAAAAGTGGGAGTCATAAATGAAGTCTGAATGGTTCTCAGGCTCATGCAGCTGCTGGAGTGATGAAGCGTTCCCGTCTCATTTACACACACTGCCCATCGCTTTTAAAGGCACTTTCAGATGGATCATATTATGGGATGTAGGGAATATTCATTCCGGCTGGAAATGTGAAATGCTTGACCTGTGAAGAGCAGAGGACAAGTGCACTACTGCCCTGGAGAAATAAACTTCCGCATGTTACAGTCCATCTTCACCCTCTGGATGTGATTTGGAACAGCGGGAAGCTTCTTCCCTGGATTCAGAGCTTCATAGTCCTGTTTTTCGCTCTCAACGGGATCCTGACTTGGAGAATGACAGTCCATCAGATCCCTGCGGATATTGTGGTCTAATAATTCTTTCTGAACAAAGATGAAATAGGCAGATACTTCTCGATTCAATTTCCCAACATTCTTGAACACAGAGAAGTTCCATTTTTCCCATCTTCCACTTCTTCTACCAACAGTCCCTTCTGGCGTGGCTGTTCCGCCTCATTATTGCTGTTTTCTTTCTCTCTCTCTCTTATGGGAACTTTCAGTCTCTCTGTCTCTGTATGATTGATGGGAAGAACAGGTAAACTCAACACCTCAACAGACAACAATCTACCCCCATTGCCTCAAAATTACTTTCATATGCAAGAAAATTGTAGACATATTTCTTCTTGTATTACTTTTGAGGGAACACATTTAGAAGGATGAGTAATGAATTATTTATGATCTGCTTTGACTGTTGTGGTAAAGGCTCTCTCAGAAAACTTGTGTTTCAGCTCTGGGGATTTACATATCGAAAGCGATCAATCTTTTGTCTCCCTTAGTAATTTGGCTTTGCAGAATGAGGAACCATAACTGAATGTGGTTATAATATCTGATGAAGGGACGTCCTGAAGAGTGTCAGAAGAGTAACTAACCTTTGCTGATTACATTAAGTTAATTACACACACAACCATCCCACTGGAATCTATTGAGTTATGAAGTGTGTCTTTAGATCTGATCCTAGCTGTCTAACTAGACTGACATTTCGGCATCACAAGTACACTCCCAACATCAAGGCTTTCCCAGCATTATGCTGCATGACTACTAAATAACTTAAAGATAAAATAATTTTATATATATATATACTATGTATACTATAATTATTTTAATAATTTATACTATGTATACGTGTAATTCTGTATAGAGAGACAGCTGTTAATGCTATTCACTATGATTTCACTGAATGTTATTCTCTCTTTCCTGTTTCTATAAAAGAGATTTTGGTCAGTAAACTGTGGTGGGTAGCAACACAGTCATTCAAAAAAAAAAAACACTCTTATAGGCCAAGCAGACTGGAAAATGTCATCACAAACATAAAATGGCTCTGGGTGGTCCCACACTGCTACCCAAATGTATGCAAATTAACAGAGTGGGTATTTCATACTGCAAAAATCTCATTCAGCAGCCAATTTATATCTGCCGAATGCAGGGACAACGGTCAAAAATAAAATTTAGCATACAATTTCAAAAAGACTCATTTAAGGCACAAAAAAAAAACAGTTTTAGATTATAAAACCATAAATAGATTATGTACATATTTCTATTCAGTTGTATTTTAAATTACAAACAAATTATATTTACAATACAAATATTATTTTCTCTATCTAGTTGCATTCTTTTGTTTCAAGTTATGAAGCAATTTTCTTCAACAAATGGTGCAGTTTTCCATGCATTTTATTATTTTGGTTTAATAAATTAAAATTGGCTTCTATATCATTTATAGGGGGGAGGGGGTATGGGGGGAATTGCATTGGTTTGAAACAGATTCATCGGGATGGTAACATGAATCTGGTTTTGCTCCAGACTCAAATCCCAGCCTCTCTGAGGGCTCAGCAGAGCATGTAGAGCGATGGAGGCCAGCTGGACTGGGTCACACTTTCAGGATCCCAATACAATTTGCTCAAACTTCTCAGCATGACGCCTGTCCACATTTCAAAAAGTGCGGTGGTCCAGCAATAGGGGTGACGGGACTATTTCTCCGTTCCCTTCTTCAGGGAAAGAGCGTTGTATACATAACCGACACACTCCCTTTCAGTCGCTCACATTCGGGAAAAAAAAAACTGGGAAAGCGTGCCCTATCGAAGGAAGGAGGAACGCTACAGAAGCCACATCCTGCCAGAAGGGAGGTAACGTGGAATACACATATGAATTGAACGGAGACAGGGCAGTGCAACATATGGAATGTCACTGGGATGGCTCCAGCCTATAACAAGGGGGGAACTCAGCCGGAGAGTTACAGCAGAAGAACTCTGCCAAGGGAAAGACTCAGGCTCACCGCAGGGAGCCGTGCCATGGAAGAATACACATGTGGGATTGCCATAGGGATCACAACATATGGACCCAGCCTAGCACAAATTCCACCAGTGCATATGAGTGGTAGGCCCAGCATCAGACGCTCCGGCACGTCCAATACCGCAAGGGTGTGGAGGAAATCAACAGTGTTTGGTAAGGGGAACTCAACTGGAGTAAGAATGGCGCACGTATCCAGTCCATAGGAGGTCAGTGGCGCAGCAAGCCGACACTTCGAGCAGGGCTTACGGTGTTGACTGGCTTCTATTTGAAGAGAGCACACGGGAAGCAACTGGCTCGACACTTAGGCTATCTAGCGAACGTGTTAGGTCTCGCCCAGCCCGCAGCTCTACAAACATCTGTCAGCGAGGCACCAACACCCAGGAAGCGACTACACTCCGAGTGGAGTGAGCTCACAGTTCGGGGGGACAAGGTTCACCTCAAGAGTCACTATCCAGTGGGCCAATCTCTGATTGAAGATAGCCTTTCCCTTCTGCTGGCCTCCGTAACAGACGAATAGCTGGTCTGAGGCCCTGAAGACCCAACTGGCTGATATGTTAGAGCAACAACTCTTGTGTTTGCACAACTCTTCTCGAGAGTGAGCTAGTATCAGCCAGTCGTCAAGGTAGTTGAGGATACGAACACCCTGATTTCTCATGGGAGCAATGGAAGCCTCCGTGTTTTTCGTAAAGAGGAGGGAGACAGGGCCAGCCCGAAGGGTAGGACTTTGTCCAGATCAGCCTGCTTGCAGCTTGCTCCACACTGAGGGACCTCAGCAGGAGCAGAAGCGGTGGCAGGGGGACGCCCTTGGTGCTCTGAAGAGCAAAGTCGGTTGCGGTGGGGAGCTCACTCATGAGCACTCGGTCACAGGCTACCCTCGTGTATGTCCATGAGTACTTTGGCCTGATAGACCTGTAGCAACGCCATGGCATGCTAAGAGAAAGCGGCTTGCCCACAAGTGAGGGGGGAGGGGCTTTCAAGACAGTTTTCAGCCGTGAAAGGTGCCATCCACAACCTAGTAAGCTCTCCATGCATTTCGGTAAAGAAAGGAACTGGGGTGGCAGGCTGAGAACCAGCCTGTTTTATGTCAGCATGTTCTCTTGACTCAAGCAACAGGAAGAGGATTACAGTTGACGGGTTTATCGCTCACGGTCACTTGAGAGTTATCGATGAATCTCGTACAGCAGGGAAAGGGCTTCCCACCACATGTTCTTATCAGATGAATGTAAATGTGCTCTCGCGGATCAGAGTCCTTCTTCATGTCGCCCACCACCTGTATGACTGAGACTGCGGGGCAGAACAGACACACCGATAATGTAGCGTTTCACACAAGCACTGCCTCTGTTTAACATATTGAAGTCTTTTAGCAGTGAAATGAACACCCACCAGTGTCTTAGCTTCAGTAATATTTAACATTACAGACATCCACTTTGCATAATTTGTCTGTGATTGATGTTAAAGTACTTGTATTTACTTTGCTGACTAATGGTGAGGTGTTTATTTTCTTTACAAAGCTCACTTTTAACGAATTACGTATTTATAAATGTTCACTTATAAAGTAGCATGTTAACTAAATTTAGGTAATAGCAAGTTGTATTTGGGTATCATATAAATACATTTTTCGGTTTGTTGTGAGATGATTATCAGAAATCGTCATAGTACTTCTTTGTAAGAGTATTTAAGTTTGTAGTCACTGAATGAATTAATTAATTCCCAGATTATTTCATAACCCATGGTGTTTATTTTAATATGGATAACTTTAGCATTATCTTGAAAGAAACTCTTGTAAAATTGTGTTTCTGATTTGTATTTTTCTCATTTTGTGACATGCTGATGCAGCATCGACTTGAACAACATAATCAGCCTCTAATTGGCCTCCTTATGGTCCTCCCTTGAACTGACAGCCAATCACACCCAAACATCTGCTGCTAATTTGCATATGTTCAGCTTGAATTGAGCGGATTAGTAATGTTATTGTTTTGGCTTATTTCGTTTCCCAAGTTCACCGTTCCTGTCCAAGTCCAATTTATTTCTCTTCCAATATTGATCTCCGTCTCTGTCTGTTTGCAGGATTACTTGATGACGCACATGTATGGGAACGCGGCGCGAGATGACTTGTGGGACAAATTCTCAGAGGTAAGACCTCAAGCATCTTCTGGGTGTGAGACCTCCATCCACGAGTGGGAATCATCGATGGGGTCAGTGAGCAGCGAGCTGACGAGTCAAATTGTATGTGTTCAACCTACTTAAATTTACTCAGTGCATCTCCTGCAGGCAGGTGTTAAGAGATTCATGCGTTGCATAGACATGTAGGTCAGAGGCCATTATATAACTGCACATCATCAGTGGCTCACAATTCATGCCAATACACCACCTACTCACATCAACACATAAAGGTTTTATGGAAATGCCTCATTGGAAGGAGTTTGATGCACAGGCAGGGTTGTGTTTGATATTCTTGCTTTTAAACTTGAGGTTATGAATATGAAAAGTTTTCCACAGGGGAGGGTCACATATTGATCCTGGAATCTGATCACTGTAACTTGCTAAATGCAAATGTTCACAGATACTGATTATGAAGTCTTGCTGATGCTGATTCTGGTGGTTTTAATTAACTTATAAATTACTCGAATCTTATCAGACCAGATTAGTGAAGTGTCACATAATTGCTGACAAACCTGATGAGTCTCTCAGATTAAACATGAGCATTTGCCCTTCAGCTCAGGTGTAGCCAAGAATAACCCAAGGAAAATCTAAAAATGATCCACTGTTGAAAGAAAATTCACCGATTTAGGTGTGTCACTCAGGTCTCAAAAATACAGTATTTATTGGGTTTGGCAAGACTGCCCTCCTCCTGACAAATACACTGACAGGTATGTTTCCTGAGATTCACTGCTTCAATTCCTCCATTTTTAGTACTTTTTTTTTAGCAACCATTACTGTCAGACTTCATTTCTCATAATTCCTTCAGTTTAATTACCGGGACAACTAATGCTGCAATACTAATCCTAATGCACAGCTTCTATATTAAATGACATTAAATTAAAAGTTTAACAAAACAATTTAAATTATCTCTTCATTTATTTTTTATCACACACATGCAAAGCTAGTGCTAGTATTGCTATTTTGTTTATATGGTATTTACATATGCCTTCATGTATGGAAGTATCAAGTGAGACTATCCCACATATAATAAATATTAATAATAATAATAATAATAATTTGTTACATTTATATAGCGCTTTTGTCAGCACTCAAAGTGCTTTACATGGAAGGGGGGATCTGTAGATGGAAACTGATTTCGGATCGTTTTTCCTCCTGGCACTGCTTGGAGCTTTCGTGGCGCTGGATTCAGCCTGTTGCACCTGCTCTTGACCCAACCTCGTCTCAGGTATTTTTGCCTCGTCTCCGTTGAGGTGGAGAAAATCCAATGAATCTGCCCGCTGTGTTGGATCATTCTCAGCGTATTATTTTACAAAGAACTCAATTTGATAAACAAATAAATAATGTTCTTAAATCCTGCTCTTTTATTCTGAGACTTCTAGCCAAGGTAAAGACCTTTCTTTCTTTTAATGACCTTGAGAAAGTTATTCATGCCTTTATTTTTTCTCGATTATTGTAATAGTCTTTAGACAGGAGTTAGCTAGGCAGCGTTGGTGCATCTGCAGGGAGTCCAAAATGCAGCTGCCAGGTTATTGACAGGTACAAGAAAGCTTGAGCACACTGCCTTTGCAATGAATTGTGCTATATAAATACAATAATGAAAGAAAATAAAGAATACATCCTCATTTTGAGCCAAATTTGAGCATAATCTCAAAGTTATTATAGTTTGTAATGGAACAGCAGGACATTTAGAAGCTATCAGTGTCGTTATGAAGGGTTTTGTCATTCACATCACTCTCCTAAGTGTCGGCTGATGGGCGCCCGCTTCTTCATTTTCTCTCTCAGAACAGAAAGGATTTAAAGGTGAATTCATGTCACCAGGACCCTCGTATCCTCTCAGTGACCGTGTTTGTGAGGCACTGACGAATTTAGCTACATTAACAGTCCGTGACAGCCCATCATCTAATGAATACTGATATGCGCTGTGTTCATTAGCTATTCATGAAATCCAATTTGCTGCAATAATCTGGCAGTGCTAAGCGCCCACAAAGCACTTTGTCGAGCTCAGGACCCATGCCGGACCTGCCTACATTTCCTTTAATCATTTTCACCAGGGTAAAGAAAGGTACAATAGCTTCTTGAAAGCATCCTACAGAAAAATGAATCATAATGTAGGAACTTCAGCTGCCGTCATCAGCCCCTGCGGAGCCACTTTTCACATGGTAAACAAACTGTGAGTCATCGACAGATGTGAGAAGTTGTCCGGTTTCACTTAACATTTTCTGTAAAATATCCTTGACATAAAGATATATTTTAATACTCACAATGGTCATAATCAATTGCCATAAGCAAGAAGGTCCCAGTTACACTAGAGAAGGGAAGTTTACATGCTCGACAGATCTAGTCAAGCTGAAGTTTGCAGAATGCAAGAGAGCCTGACAGAGCACTTTGTTTCTGCTGCCACATTTCTCTTCCAGTCCCATGGGTCTCCACAACACACTGACTCAGTGCTGCTGCAGAAACACTGTAGCTCTCCAACGGTTACAACCAATTTCATACACAATTACTGATTGGCTCCAGTGAGTATGAAATTCTGCACCTCTTTAGGATGCCATGAATGGACATGATTGGACATATCTGTAGAGCCAATGACATTGATCCAAAACCTAGTCTACTGCGGATACAGACAGCTGCATCAGGATACCTCAAAATACTGACTTTACATTGAAAGTAATACATTAGTACTCCTCACATGGGAAACTCAGCTTGGTTGTTTCCAGTAGAGTTTAACTTTAGTGCATCCGGTTCCGCTCGGCCCGCTCAGAGCAGGTCTCGAATCAGCATTTGCCAGTACAGGACGTGGGCATGTTAACAAGGCTAACAATGCTAAAGCCCACAGACTTAGCATCAGTCGCTAGGTAAAGGGAGCGAGTTTACTTGCATAGCTCTTATTATCTGTTACACTCACCCTCCTGAACCTCATTTTTATCCAGGTCACGCTACCAATGCGAATAGTTCTACTTGCGCTGTTCCAAGAAATTCAATAAGGTTAGTTACCATCTGGAATATGACACATGGGCCCGCTAACAAGGTTGTTAAGGACTGCAGCCTCGAGCAAAGCTCTTGAGGGCAGGGGAGTGAAGTTTACCTGCAAAGCTCTTACTAGCTGGTCCCGTTCTAACCCTGGTCCCATCCGGGTCACGGCACCAATCCAAATAGTTCCACTTGCCCTGTTCGTGAAGTGGGTCTCGGGCCGATGACTGCCAATTCATACAGGAAACTTTTATATATCAGTTCATTAAGAAACCTGCCAGTTGTCCACTATGCTAAGCCATTTATAGCAGCATTTTTTTTCAAAGAATAACCAGTATATTTCCCCCATGGACAAAATGTAGTCACATTACAAGCTTTCCTCATTAATGAGCCATGAGATCCAATTTTACATTGTACTTGTATAAAATAGGAGGAGAAGCTTCCTCTGAAGAAATCAGACTTATAGTTCTTTACAAGCATCTCTCTTGTATAGAGAGGTTAGATAACTTGTAATTTCCTTGTGATGTTCTTCCATGTGTGGTGTAAAAGAACAGTGAATTTTAATCACCTTTCTATTCAGTGAGAATTTTTAATTAAAAGTCCTGAATGGGTTTTAGTTTTGCAAGACAAAGACAACCTTAATCATTCCAAATATGTGCATAAGAACCCATCAAATCTAAATTAATCATTAGGTGGCCCCTAAACCGTGAAGCTCACCAACACAACTCACTTCCACTTAACTGATACTGTCAGACACAATCTGTGATCAGTGTATATGTACGATGTCTTTTGATGTATGATATTTTGTGTCACAGGCCATGCAGCGGGAGGGAAAGGATATCAACATCACGCAGGTCATGGACCGCTGGACCCTGCAGATGGGTTACCCTGTCGTCACCATCAGCAAGAACGACAGTCTTGACAATAGTGTCACCATCTCCCAGGAGCACTTTGTCTATGACACGGACGCCAAGATCCAGAATCCTGAGCTGTTCAACAAAAGGTAGTGTGCTATATCTAAAATGTGCTATATGTTGAATGGGCTATATGTCGAATGTGCTACAGTATATGTCGAATGCGACAGGTTGTTCCATGAAAATGAAACCCTATCAATCAACTAACCTCTGATTCTCCATGAGCTCATAAATTAGTGCAGAAAATCCACCATAATACGCAGAGGTCTGTATGTTTGCTGAACACTGCAATGCTGAATAATGTAAAAATCCCACACAGTGATGCTCTGAGAGTTTCCTGTGATCAGATCAAGCTCAGAGAGAAAAGATCCTACAGTTGTTCTGCAGCTGAAGAGAAACCATTTTGATTCAAAATAAAATTAAACTTTAAGATATTTTGGAAGAAATACAGAAGAATAGACCATATGGAGATTATAAGCAGAGCTAGACAGATAAAGACTAGCCTAGCGCCCCACAAGAGCATGAAAACCCAGAGGATTTCCTCACTTATCCAAAGGATGTGAACACTTTAATGCTTAGCATATCTTGTCCGCTTTCATCACTCCTACTAAAAGAAACAGCTTAATCCAGCCTACAATGGTTTGATGGTCTTCAATCGAAACCAAGTCAGTCAGCTAATACCAGTAAACTTTCTTAGGCTTGCATATGATGTTTTTTCTTCTTTAGTAGGACAGTGTAGAGTATTTGTGTGAATTAGATCTCACATCATGTTTATGCACACAATATCTACCCGCTATTAACTGAGCATTTCATTTATTATTATTATTCATGCTAACCCGTCACCGCCACATGCTTTTGGCACCCGTCTGCATTGCCACAGAAAAACGCATGTGTCACTGGCAGATAAATTAGTTTAATTCTTTGTTAGTGTGAGATGAATAATTCAATACCGCCTCTAATCTGTTTTAGAAATCCTCCTTTTGTTTTGGATCAGACACTGTTAGCAGCACAAGAATTGACTCAAGAATTGAATTTTATTTCTGAACTGTCATCTGTTTAAACACTATCAATGTCAAACACCTGTAATTTCAGGACATGAGAAAAAACTCCTGAGCTTGTAATCTATTGGATATATTATTGTGGTTGATTTTTGACTAAAGGTGGTAAAAAGTTGAATCTATTAGTTAGAAATAGGAGATAATAATAACTATAGTGAGATAAAAGCATAATTTCTGGAATTATAAAAGCATCAGATTATCTTCATTCTGCACGGCTAGGCTAGCTCTCCATAACAAGCCATCTAATGTCATAAATATGAAACATACAGGTATAAATGTGTTTGTCCGCCTCTTTCCTAAGTTCATTTGTTCAGAGCAGACAAAGCCCCCTTCCTTTGAACGTCTCCTCCTACATGAACGAGTTTTCGTAGCGCTGCGGTCTTCTGCGGAGGCGTTCAGAAGCAGAGCTGCTCCAGGAATCAATAGCAAAGCTGTGTTGCGAGTAGGGGGCATCTCTTTCCTGTTTTGCCCCTCAGGCGGGTGTTCAGCTGAGTACCAGACAACCTGCCAGAATGCAGGGGGATTTGGCACCTTTGTAAATGCAGTGTAACACCTCACTTGAGGCTTTAAGCCAGCCTTGCAAAATGTGCTGACAGAAACATTGGCTGCAACAAAAAGAAAACAGAAAAGGTCAGTTTGAATGTATTTCACACTCCTTCTGTGTGTTTCATGTCCACTGCCATCTCATTAAAGTTCATAGAGAGTCCAGAGTCTGTCTGGAGATGTCCAAACTCTACAGAGAAATGATATTTCTTCCAAGTCAAGTCAAGTCAAGTCACCTTTATTTATAAAGCGCTTTTTACAATACAGATTGTATCAAAGCAGCTTCACAGTGACATGAAAATAATACAACACAGATCAATGATATTGTCGAATATTAAATGTCCCCAACTAAGCAAGCCAAAAGCCAAGGCAACAGTGGCAAGGAGCCAAAAATCCATCAGGGACAGATTGGATAAAAAAACCTTGGGAGAAACCAGGCTCAGTCGGGGGCCAGTTCTCCTCTGGCCAATGAAGGAACAGTGTGATTCGGGTAGCATTACAAAACAAATTGGATCAAAACATTAAGAGTATTAGTCCATGTCCATCTGTTTGGAAGTCGAAGTAATCACGCTGGGTTGGAGACAAGATGTTGAGGATCAGTGCCGATGGCTGTTCCACACCGTTGTAATACATGCTGGCTTTTATGAGACACTTTGATATTCTTGAAGCAGCTTCATAATCCAGCTAGCAAAGAGCCACACACTTGATATGCTAATTCACATCTTCTTTCAAACATGCATTAAAGGAATATTTTTGGGTTAAATTCAACAGCAGCTGTATTTACATCATAACCTATTTGATCTGTTATTTATTTTTACCACAGTAACTCGTTCTTCAGTTTGTAAAAATAATGAAAACATGTTTATAATAATGCATTTACATCGGAAGCCTAGCATGCTAGCATTATAAAAATAGATAACTAAACATGTTTTTGCGAGTGTTTATAAAGTAAGGGTTTTGTATAGATCTTGTAATTTGTATTTAATGCTAAATATTTCTTTAAAATTGTCACAGAAGCTTAGCTACAGCTAATCTGATTGTTTACATCAGCTTGTTATTAGCGTATTTGCAGTAAGCTAATAGGTCACAGATTTCCTCTCAATTATAAAACCTCAATATTTAGTTAGTAAAATGTAACAATTCATTAGAAGTGGACATAATTGTAAATATTAGAAAAGTGAAGTTTATACCTGAAATGGGGATGCTGTCCATCAACACACCTCATCTGAAATCATCAAAGGAGTCTGGAGCTCAAACGTTGCTTCATTAACACCTTTACACTTGTATCTTACCTGACTTCTGATTGGATTTTCACAGCACAGATTTTGTACTGAGGTGATGTCATTGAGAACTTATTAGCGCTTGAAGACACAAATTAATTTTCCCATTGCAGGCTTGACTGTGTTGGATACATACAGTTACTCCTGTGAATTATTTACAGTGCCGAGGTGGATCTGAGGATGTGATCTGAGGATGTGAGGTTGGTGTGAAACTGCGTAAAAAATTGTTATTGGAGGTTCAGGTTCACATTGTGACGATCAGATCCCCACAATGAGAGAATATCATCAAGAACCTGGCAATAAATCTGTCAAGCACCACTGTTACAGTGAAGAATATAAGCGAAAACTCAATATCACTATAATAATTCAGAGATGCTGAAAACACAGAAATACTAGGCAGTTTACAGTTGGTTTACTCTTGGAAACGTTACACAGTGCAGTAATCCAATCATCACTGGAATGAGTACAACCAGTTAACAGAGCAAAACATCTGAAATGCAACGAAACATTAACTGTGAACATGCATCAGCTGAATAAAATAGAAAAAACTGTAGATCTAAAGTGCCTTTCATTGCAGGGAAAATCCGCAACAACAATATTAAAGTAACGAATGGTTAATTTTCTTTGGTGTACATAAAAAAGTGTAATGGTAAAATATATGTGCATAAAAATATATATACAGTTTTCCTCAATACCCTGCACATCACATTCTTTCTCCAACCCATCTCGCAAAACATCCTCATGTTCCTCATGGTCTCAGTGGTTTCAAACCGTCGCTGGATGATTGACTGAAAGTCTAAAGCAAGTCTTCAAAGCAACAGCTCAAGCTCAACACAAACCCCAGTCTGTGTGGACATCCATGGAAGGTTTCAATTGAGGACACTTGTATTTTTTCTTCTTTTCAGTGCGGCTGGTGTTCGATAAAAGTGTTTTCAGGATTTACAGAATCACACATGTTGAGCCACAAAAAGCCCCCAGTGACTCATTATGGACCGAAAGCCAGCAGTCCCTGAAGAGAGCCTGATATATTATCATCACACCCGCACAGAGAGACAGAGAGACAGTGAGACTTAAAAACCCATGAGCAGAGAGAGGATAGTGTGTAAATCACAGTGAATTTTAAATGTAGAAACATCCAGACCACATCTGTTACTCTTTTACAGTGGTGATATAGTGTTGAAGGCTCAGGCATTTCACTCTCATATGTTGCTAATTATAATTTGCCTGAATTATTAATCTATAGAAGTTTTTTTTTAATGATTAACAACAACAAAAAAAAAACTATAGCAATAACTTGGAACACCTTATAACAACCATGTAGCACCCAGTCATTGTGGCAGTAAATGTTTAACATTGTCATAACATGTCAAAAGTCCTAAATATTACATATTATGTTTATTGTACACTATTATTATTTATTACAAAAATGATTCTCCTTTTTTAATTCTGCTTCTGCCATCACATGTGTGCATAACAACTCTTCTTGACCATGGTAAAATCACTGTAATGCACTGCCTCTCATGTTGCTTTCATTTATATAATATTGTCCATTAAGAGCAAGTGAATAATATCTACATCATAACAAACACAGGTTTGTTCCATAAACATTAAGTGATGCCCAGAAGTCTCATCTTTCACACACTTTACCCGTCTGCTGCAGGGACTACACTCTTCATTCGTGCTTTAGCTAAAGCTCGGGGCCATAACACAAAGTTCCTGAGGGATGTAAATAACGATGATGATAACAGACGCTTCCATAAATGAACAAACATGAGCCACCAAATTACCAGCCTGTGGAGAACTTTAATTTTCTTTTGCTTTCTTCTCTTGTTCAATCCCACTGATGAACACAGTTTTATGTAAATGTATCTGTGTGATTTCATTTGAACACACACACACACAGATGCTTCTATTATCTCTGAAATTCATAAGTATTGTTATCAGCGCTCATCTACCGCAGAATCTCTCTCTATAGTCTCCTTATAAACATATGCGTTTAAATACTGTTTCCCAGCAGGCTTCATGTAGCCTCATCTTATGCATAATGTCTTCTCAACTGTGCTATAGTTATATCCTCTGCGATACAAACTTTCATCCCAGCATCTCCCGTGTCTGCTGTTTACAGCTGTTTCTCCTGCCTTTAAACGTCTTGTTGGTAACGCTTTAATTAAACCTTTTTTAATAATGCATTTTAAAAGTATTTTAATGCATTGTAATGCACCTTACAATACATTGTATGAGACCACAGTTATAATACATTTTAATAATTATGTAATGCCTAAAGAAAGTATAATGCATTAAAATACCAGACAAACAACCGATTTCAGGAACTGGAATCTGATAATATTATAATGCATTTTAACTTTGGTTACAGTTATACATACGGCACATAAAGTAAGTAGTTTCCATATTGTTTATAACAGAGCTTTCTGTCTGTCTTTTCACAAAACCCTCATTGAGGCTTGTTCAGACATAATTAAGACACATTAAATAACATAAAACATCTTTTCTGAATGAAGAAGGTGAGTCACCAGCAGCCTGAAAAGGATTTTTGTCCGTTCCTGTCAGTTTTCCAACTAACACAAATCCTTAATGATCCAACCTTCTCCCCACAGCCAAGACTGACATCCTGAATAATCCAGACGGTTATTTAATCCTCCTCCTTTTTAATGACAAAATGTTGACATTTATGAGGAATATGTGGTGCGTGCCTGTGTAAAGTTCACTGCCACAGTGCTAGGCTGCTGTGACGGCTGCCAGGGTGTTGCTATGTGTTTGTCAGAGTTTTTTTTAGCATGTTGCCTCAAGATTAAAGACAGCTTATCTTTTCTACAGTATATGTCTATAGAACAATTTTGGAGCAAAACATTTATCATATTTAAAAGACTTGAAAACATAGGTTGGGATTATTAATATGTTTGCATAATATCTGAGGTTATAAATGTTCAGTACATCACTTCAACAAAGATCGTACCATATGAAAAAAGGATAATCATATCGACCATCTTGTCAACGAATGAAAAAGCCTGCCAACTATTAATTATGATCCATTTTTGTGCCTTTAGCCTCTGCAGAAGGGACATTTTATACCCTAAATACCATATTCTTCTGTTATTTACAATCTGTTGATTCAATTACTTTGAACAAAACCAAAAATCATTAACAAGACATTTGTCTCAAGTGTCAAGTATTTGGTCATTTTTCCTCATTTTTCTTTCTTTGCTACATAATTCTGCATAAAACACATTAAATAGCAATAGAATATTAAACCTATAGCACATACCTATATTGTTGTCCATGATCATCCGAATTTCCCAGTGAATCTATTAAAAAAAGGGTGGAAATTGTTAAATGAAGTTAAAATATTTGTTTGGAGCGTGTTCAAATGACTTAGTCTTACATTAGATCTCATAATGATACAGTATTTATTGCTTTGGGTCAGCTACGCTGCACTCTTGCTGTCTGGGGTAATTTATGCTGGCAGACAGCAGAACTCGTCCACGTGTGTGTCAGACATTTTGACAGGCTGAAAGAGGGGCGGCCATCCAGTGTGACAGCTGTCAGCCAGAGTTTGACTGGAGAGGCTCTCATACCTAGACATGTTCAAGCACACACAATAGTACATGAAAGCTTTAGAGCCACAGATGAATCGACATCAAAATGAGGTGGCGACACAGAACATGACAGCGATCGGGTGCCGCGTGATACACAGCTGTGTGTGTGTGACAGAGAGTGAGATAGAGAGAGAAAGCAAAGCACTCTGGGAAAGAATGAAAGCTGATTTCTTTGAGCTTTGACACTGCTGGGTTTTCTTTGAGCTTCACAATCATCTGATACTCCTGATTTTGTCACTCTGCCTGCTAGTGTTGAGACAGAGAGGATATTGCACGGATGTATCCCACAATCCCATTAAACCGTGGGCGTCCATATGTGTCAGATTATGCACGTCATACAGTTTGTATCTGTGACATTTAAACTCCTGAGATCACATAGAAGATTTTCATCTGTTATTTCTCTTTGTCTCAGCTTCCAGTGGCAGATACCGCTGACGTTTGCAGTGGGAAACTCCAGTCACATATCAACAGAGACCATCATGTGGATCACCAATAAAACAGGTACAATTATACAAAGTGCTTTTATTAGCTTATGGGTCACATTATTCAAATGAGGATGTTCCTTTATTGTGATGATGTCAGGACAGTTTAATATCACCCTGACTTTGTTAGACCTAAAAAAAAAATGGTCTCATGTCCTTGCCCCATGAAATCCCCATCAGCCAGTGAGATACCAAATAAAAAAAGTTGTTCTTACATTGGATTTCCTCATTAAATGTGACTAATTCAGCTCTGTATTTATGTAAAAATCTTTTTACTAAACACTTCAATGCTATTCTTCTGTGATTCCCACACTGCTGCAGCACCCACACGTCCACCATCATTACATGCAATCTTATTCCATTACATTCCTCTCCTTTGGGAAAACGAGGTGGATTTTCTTTAGACGGAGGCACAGCGAGTCAAATTCCAAGAGTCGGAATTGAATTTGCTCTGCGAGCGATCCATGTGGCTCAAAGCTGAAATTTCCCCTGATCATGAGACCATTTAACAGCCTCCATTTTCTGCTCACCTTCCATGAAAAACGGCCCTCAGCAGGGCAACAATGCAGATGACACCGAGCCGGAGACAATGGCTCTTGAAGCAAACACACACTGTAACATAGAGACCTCATTTATATGCATTAACTCACCGCATGACTCTTGAAATCTGGCCGCTGACGCTTGGATGCTTCCTGGATCACGATACACTGCAAATCCATTGAGTCCATGAGCGCTCGAAAGCACTTAACCAGTGCATTTGTTAGCCATGAAAAAGCACAAGGTCTGGCTGGAATATTACAGGTTGAGAACGTGGCAAACACAACAGATTACAGATGTTGCATACTAAATGCTGAATGCATCGTCTTTTCGTGTATATTTCTGTGCAGGTCTGAGTTCATTTCAAAGATAATAATTGTGCTATGCATAAAAAGCTTTGCAAGTTCACTGTCAGGTAGAATCCATCAGTCCATATGAACTATAGTGACTGGTTTATATTTCATTAGAAATGCAGTCAGTTTAATTGCTTAATATACATTTTGTTCGTTAACTTCCCGTTATCTGAATATATCCACATCTGTCGGTGAGCGTCTAGGCGTCATTTAGCGCCGCATGTTTCTGTTTATAAGAGCTACAGTGTCTGTCAGAAGTGTCATTCAATTTTTGATTTTTTCCACTGCTGTATTTATAGAGAGGCACAGAGTGGGTCACATGAGCGGCGAAACGTGGTTGCTGGGCAACATTAATCAAACGGGATATTTCCGAGTGAACTACGACCTCCACAACTGGAGACTTCTCATTCAACAGCTGATGAGCAACCCAAAGGTATTTCTTTCTTCAACAACTGTCAGTCCTTCTGGCTCCTCACGTTTTATCCAAAGTGTTTCTTCCCCCCTTCTGTTTCCTCATTCTCCTCATCACTTCCTGCTGTTTTGTAAATGTCTGTGCTATTCTCTCACGGCAGATCATCTCAGTGGGCAACAGGGCCGGTCTGATCGACGACGTCTTCAACCTGGCGAGGTGGGTTCAGTTTGTTACATGCAGAATCATTCAGAGAGTGTGAGACCTGCTCTCCATCTAACAGCCTTCACGCCCCTGCAGTAATTAAATCTAAGTATGATTAAATAAATTCAAAATTAAATGCACCAATTAATTTTGCTATTACATCAAAACACAATAATCATTGTTTAAAACATATTAAATCCATTTTTTTTTTTTACCAAACTAGACCTGCATTTAAATAATTTTCTTTGTATTTTGTATGTTTTTTAATTATAAAAGGCTTCATTTCTAAATAACACTCTGATGAATCATGAATTGAAACCTGATTTCTGTGAAGAGCTCTGGAGGATTTTTCACACGTCAATCAACAGAAAGGTGCTACAGTAGCAATGGCTGAAAGTTTCAGAAGGTTACATCATGATTGAACTGAAGTGAAAGTGTTGCAAAACTGTAATTTCACTTCCATAACTGTCACAGTCAGTCGTCTTCACCTGTTTTGTCCCGTCATCTGCACCACACTTCCCCGGATCCTTTTGTTCCTCTCCCGGACTCACTCCCCAATCAGCCACCTGTTCCTCGTCCTGTCTTCATCATTCTTACCTGTTTGCACCTCATTAACCCTGATTCCTCTGTGTATTTAGTTCAGTCCAGTTTGATTCAGTTTTGTCGGTCAATGTTTAATGTTACGTGGTGAATCCCGTCTTCCTGCCTGTATTTATTTAATAAATTCTATGTTCTTCGTGATTTTGGACTCAGCCTGTCCTTCTGCCTGAACCCGCACCGTGACAGATTGACCGACCCAAAAAACTACATGGACGCCGTGATCTTCCGGGGGATCCCCTACCCGGTCCTGCGACCCCGGTTACGGCTTGTTCCCCGGAAGTCTGCGCTCACCGTCAGCCCTGCCGAGCCCGCACTCACCGTCAGCCCTGTCGAGTCTGCGCCCACCGTCAGCCCTGCTGAGTCAGCGCTCACCGACAGCCCTGTCGAGCCCGCGCTCACCGTCAGCCCTGCCGAGCCCGCGCTCACCGTCCGTCCTTTTGAGCCTGAATGCTCTTCACCGCTGGTTCCGTCCAGCTCTCCAGAGACTGTATGCTCTTCACTGCTGGTTCCGTCCAGCCCTCCAGACAACAGGGACGTCATGATCTTCCGGGGGATCCCCTACCCGGTCCTACGACCCCGGTTACGTCTCGTTCCCCGGAAGTCTGCGCTCACCGTCCGCCCTGTCGAGCCCGCGCTCACCGTCAGCCCTGCCGAGCCCGCGCTCACCGTCAGCCCTGCCGAGCCCGCGCTCACCGTCAGTCCTTTTGAGCCCGAACGCTCTTCACTGCTGGTTCCGTCCAGCCCTCCAGAGACTGTATGCTCTTCTCTGCTGGTTCCGTCCAGCCCTCCAGAGACTGTATGCTCCTCACTGCTGGTTCCGTCCAGCTCTCCAGAGACCGTCCAGCCAGCGCCAGGGACCGTCCAGCCAGCGCCAGGGACCGTCCAGCCAGCGCCAGAGACCGTCCAGCCAGCGCAATACAATAGCATCACTAGACATATTCTTTAACGTCAGTTAGATGACGCTATCTAAACCTAACCCTACCCCAGACCTAAACCTACCCGCATCATCTAACTGACGCTGATGCTATCTCCCAGCAAACAAATTTAGGTTCTGGGAACGTTAGTTTTTGGTTCCCATAACTTTCCATCTAGATTAGGGGAACGTTCCCAGAACGTTCTCCTTACGTTATAAAAATGGAACCTAAAAATAACCTACATGGAACGTTCCTATAGCGTTCTTGTTTGGTTCCCAAAAAAAATAACCTCATGGTACCATTCGGGAACGTTCTGTGTTTGCCTGGCTAATCCTAACCCTACCCCAGACCTAAACCTACCCGCGTAATCTAACTGACGCTAAAGGTAAAGCGTCAGTTGGATGACGCCCTAGAATCGTCATCTAACTGACATTAAAGGGTACACTAAAACGTTGGATGTTGACGTATGGATAGATGACGTCTTGGGATGAGATTGTGTTGATTCACCAACTGTAAAAAAGCATAGAATACAAAATCTCTGTAAGAAGTTCATCTTTAGAGCATGCATTCCATTTTGCAGTTCAACCAACCCAATCAGAAACGATTAGGCAGACATTTATGAAAATGTTCCTATTATTATGAAAAATCTCTTTGAGGGTAATTGATGTTCTGAAAGTAACAATTCATCCATTTGATGTCATTCAAAAATGAGGGATATTATTATTAAATGTGACATTTGCAAATACTGGATTTCTTTGTCTTTTAGAGAGACAGACAGTAATTTGGCACCAAGCATTTGAAAAGACCTACATTTCAAAGTTAACTCCCATTTTCTTCTGGTCACCCTGAAAGGATCTTGATAAAGCCGTCCATCACAATAGAAAGAAGAGTCAGATCCAGTGAACTACAGCTGGACCGTCATTACTGACAGATTCTGCTCTTGTTCTGTACTGTACTCTTGATCTTTTCTCCTTTAGCCCCAAGGCGTTAGTGAAGTAAAAAGCCTTTAGCTCATCAAGATGAGACCTGCGGTGAGACCACTGAGCCGTTACTGTGATGGCGGATAATACTGTAAGAAAGCGAGGGAAAAGACCTCCGGTCTCAATGTGTCGATCCTTCAGAGCTTCGTCATTAGCTGGAAACTCACATATGAGAGGAGGAAAGACAGAACGGTAGAGAAGAGGGTTTATTGTGCCACAGGCTGCAAGCTGCCATTAGTCCTTTCAGCAACTGCTCTCCCTAAGGTCCTCTCTGTTCGATACAGACTCGCTCATTCTGCTTAATGAAGGAAATATTCAGTCACTGGCTGCTACTGTTGATGCTACAAACCAACTGATTCTTTCTCAAGCCAAATCCCTGTTTGAGTGGAGACTTTCTTAGACATTGAATTTAGGTGCTGCTTTGTACAGATTGTGAAATTCATTCACTTCGGATAGTCAATTTTATTCTTTCACGAAACTAAATGAGGAAGCTTGTTGTTCTGCTAGCATTAGCAACGCTGTTCTTCAAACTGAAACGACAGGCTTGTGTGCTGGCGCTGTCATGTTGAGATAGACGGGGCTTTAACAGGCATGTGGAGAATTGTGCTTTTGACCAAAGATGTTTCCTAACCACCAGAGTTCATCAGTCGACAAACCCACAGGGACACTTGTGTTTATTGCCGGCACATTGAGCCGAGAAAGGAAACTTGTTCCTCCTGTGTTGTAGTACGTCATGTTCATTTAGCCTGTTTATTCACCTCAGCCTTAATTGTTTACTGAAGAGCTTGATAATTGAAAGTTAACAGGACTTAAGGCAAATCATTTTATTCCTACTTTTAATAAAATGAGCAGATGTTAACAGCATGTCTCATTCAACCTCAGGCTCAGATCTGTGGAGGAGGTTATTGTTATGTTCTAAAGAAGCAAAAATGCCAACCTGCATATTAAAAACAGCATCATCGTCAATCACAGTGGGTAAAATGTCTCATTTCTCTGTAAATTACTGGGATGATAAAGAGTGTTCATATGACTGAGGAAAATGAATGCCTCAAGGGATGTTACCTAATTAAACGCCCCTGGTGCTCATGGGAGTCATTCACACAGATCAATACTGACTCACAAAGACTTTATTGTGATTATGAATTACTGGATCAATTGAGAAGAAGAAAGCTAGTGTTAGTGAAGCCTAGCTGGAGACAGAAGATCGTATTTAATGTACATAATAATTGGGTTAATTGCATAGCTTTTCTTCCATGAGAAAGCACACATCTTCTATAAAAGTGTCTTTAAAGCACAGAGTTATTAAACGGGGGGTTGACTGCTTTTTTTCTTTGCATGATTGTGTTTATGGTTTTTCTTTTTTTAAAAGTCTTATTTTTCATAAACTTCACCTTTATTGTCAGCCGCGCTCTCCTCTGTCCTCGAACGACCGGTCGACTTCCTGAGTCTATGAAACCACTCCCTCAGAAACAGGCAGTGGGCTCAGATTGGTTAGTTTGGGCTGGGGTGTTGTGATTGGCTAAACTGTCGCTCACGTTGTCCGGAAGGGTAAACGTGCATGTCCTGAGCTCCGGTCCAGTAAATATGTGTTGAACTGCAGTTTATCAGTTTGAGGCAGAATCAGACGGAGAAAGCCGCGATGAAGAGAGTCAAACAGAACCTCACCACACATGGCTCTCTAAACGGTTCTGAATGATAATTTGCTACATTTTTTTTTTTAATTTATACACGTTTGTTTTACATAATACAACAAAATACATTTATAAAATACATTTTAATACTTTATTATTACATAATACATCTGACTGGCAATAATAGCAACTGACTGGCTACTAATGTTATACTCAAACAGCATTGGCAAGTTTACGTTCTTGATCAAATCGAAAATAACGACACAAAATATACATGAAAAATACATTTACAACATTAGTACTTATACAAAATTCAGGTCCATAATGTTTGTACGCGTTTGTCGTAGACACAAAATAGCATAACTACAGTAGTAGCTATAAAGCCAGTGCTGGCATTTCAAAAAAATAAAACACAAGGCTACGTCTGGAATTATGCATGCAAATACATTTAAAATGATTAAGTCTTAGCCTACTTACAGGTTGTGGCCCAACAACTGCTGCCTCTGGTTTTAAAGTTGGAACTGCTTCATGTTTTAGTAACAGTTTCTTGTTGTTCATGGAGATTCTGGAAGCTGTCTTCTGTAAAATGTGCAGCATAGAGAGCTAGATTACGATCGTCATTTTCAGGAACATAATCAAACATAAATTGTATCCATTGATGACGAAGTACATGTACGTCCGTGGGAAGCTCGAACACAGAAGACCTGACAGCTGGGTGAACACAACACACTCGACGAGCCGCAGAAATATGCGCATGCCCTTTTTGGAGGGGTTGATGCAAATGTGTGGGTTAGTGACGACTAAAACCCAGCTGTAGTCCCAAACGAGTCATTTTTGTAGGCAATATACGTCCTGATTTTTAAGAGACGATATCTCAGCTTACACTGAACTTTCAGCGCTGCAACTTTGCAGATACTGTTCATGCACCAACAGCAACATTACACACTATTTAAAATGGAAAAAGAGAAATCGCAGTCAACCCCCCCTTTAAAATATTCTCTGGAGCGACAGCTATACACAGGTTTTGGATTGGATTGAACAGTCAAAAATATTTGGGTCACATTTCAGCCTGTTAAAACTAATATTATATTATATATTATTATATTATTATATCCACTATGTTGTTACTGGCATGTGAAAACAGTGTCAGAATGCATCCTTTTCATGTAGATTTTTAAGCAATTAACAGTTACTGTCAACAGTCATTTTGATCACCAGCATACGTGAACTTCCATAAAAATGCTGATCTGTTCCTAACCCGAACATCAGCAGGTTTGTTTCCGTAAAGACAGAAGGGTGTATTGTTTGTGACGCTCGTGAAACATTGCAACACCTGTCAACAATTCTGCCATACAACACATATCACACAACTGACAGAAAGAATTAAACAACAGTGCTAAGAGACTATATTGGTTGCGTTTCCATATCTGCACAATATGTTCTCTCAGCGATGGAGCTTCTTAATAGGCCTGTTTAAAATGAGCTACAATTACAGGCCAATTTAAAAGGTAATTATTTATTTAGGAGACTGTGATGGTACTCTTTATATTCACATTAATTTAAAAAAAAAAAAGTTTCTTTTCAATTCTCCAATGGTCGCTGACGATCATGTTGCCAGACATCGCCAGCTCTCATTGAAAATGAAGGATGGCAGGCAATTTTAAAGAGCAGCACACTCTTATTTTTACCTTGCTGTTCTTCTGGAGTGCTATTATCAATGATAAATGGCCTTCATGCAATGTTTCTCCGAGGCTGTGTGCGAGTGTATTGGCACATTCCTGAAGCATGAGAGTGATCAGCTCTTTTATTACTGTGCTCACAGGGAACAGCAGGGAAACTTCAATGCCTCATGACACTTTTATGGTAATGTTGTGTTTATATCTAATGAACATTTTCCCTCAGACCTTCGATCAGAAAGCTGAATAATTCAAATATACAAGGAAGAAAGGAAAGTTTTAAGAAACGGAAAAAACTGAATGTCCTCCAGTGGAAGCGTCTCTAAATATGAATGATAGCCATTATAAATTATTTTCCCTCTAAAGAATTTCCATTTTAAAGGAGAACTCAGGCGCAATATGAACCTTTGGTCTAATATCATATGTAACATTGTATATTTATAATGATCAACTATTACAGACTGGTTGTCTCTAGAGGTCAGTGGAACCAAACAAAATGTGATTTGTGTCGTCCACTGGCCATCATTCACTTCACCTTTAATGTGACTTGACCGGTGAACACTTTGCAATAATTTATGTGCTATAGTGTCCCAAAGCGCATTCGCCTAATGAGAAACAAAACATAATTAATGCACATGCAATGCTATTAAGCTCTTGACTGCATCCTTTATGTCTTGTGTGCACATCAATCCTGACAATTTAAATTGAATATTTCCATGTAATCAGTGTGAAAGAATAACTGACAGCCGATGAGTGTTTGAAGTGCCTTGGCATCATTATAGACTGATTAATTGTTTATTTTAACACAATTATTGCTCATTAGGCCGCAGTTTAATGCTTTATTCTGCTTGGTTGACACAGTGGTTTTGAAATTTATTTTCTATATCTGCACAAATGTGAAGTAGTTCCAGGTCTGTTGAGCTGCTTTCTAAGCATTTAGAAAATGTTTGGAGATAAATAGCATTATTGACTCCAGACTGTGGAATTATTGAAAATTAATACATGTCCGAGGTGTAAAAGTCACTGCAATCCTTAAGCCAGTTGCATTAACTTCAAATAATTCAACAGTGTTAAGAGTAAATTGCACCTGACTCCAGTCTTATGCACACCCCTTCTAGTGAACTGTTATCCCATGTATATGAAAGTTTGACTTCATATTGAAACTTTAAGGACCACTAATCCCTGAACTTCAAATATTAAAGGCAGATATTAAATAAGAATTAAATAAAAACTCTCCGTCCTTCTCTAATACATTAACAGGCTGTTTGAAATAATAAGAACAGTTCCTGGTCAGACACAAATAAATTCACATTTGCTTGATACTATAAACACATTTACTGCTTTTTTCATGGAGATGTTGAAATATAGTTTCTAATTCTTCACCTCTTCAATTGCTTATATTATTGCAAATCAGTTTGTCTGGAAATGTTAAAAACCTCTTTGGTTAACAGTGGGTGTCCGTGAGTAACTGTGATTAATGTCCCAATTAAATGTGTGTTGGGTGAATCTGTCCCCTGGAATTTAATGAGTCCGTTTACAAGTCTGATCACTTCCTTTTTCGCCTGACCTCTGATTCAGAGTGCTCATGCTCTGCATAAAATAATGACAACCCAGGCTCATTGGAAAACGTGATTTATTTTAATGTATTTTTGACAGTTTTGCAAAACTTAAAAAATACTACATCACTGTAGAAAGGAAAAGTCATATTTTCGATTAATAATGACTTGCACAATACTATGTTAGAACCTCAAAACGCTTTTACCATAGAGCATGATGGGTAAACTAATACATTTTGAACTTACATCGTATATAATCAAGCACAAACCCTCATTTGGCGTTAAAAACTACTGTCGGGATTTACTAAAGTCACTGAAAATTTGATTAAAATTAGCACTGAAAAAACGTGGACAGGGTTATTTTTGCGGCTGATCTTATTGCATATGTATTTGGAGTTTCTCTTTCAGACACGAAATTTATGGGAGTATTTAAATGAATCATGTAAGGTGATTTACTGAGATTTGCGCTAGTCAATTTACTGGCATTTGTGCCATTTTTTATTGCCCCAAAAACCATGTCTTAAACCAGACGCTAATTTGTGCTGCTCTTGGTAAATTGCTTTGGTCATTATGGAAATGATCCGGCTGTTAATTTGCATGTCGTCAGTAGATCATGCGTAGAAATCACTTTTTTTCGGAATTATGCTCTCACGCTAATTTTCCCTGTTTAACAAATCTGGCCCTTCATTTCCAAAGAAAAACTGCCAGATTTTTGCCAACTTCCGTATGTTTTTGATCAAGCTAAATGTGATTCTAGCGCCACTCACTTGACATAGCCTATATACGCACCTGATTTCAAATGCTCTTTTCATGTGGCATGCAAATTAGCACTACTTATCTGAAGTGCACTCAGATACGACTGACAATTGATTCCAATTGAGTTTGCCATTGGCTGTTTTGCTGTTGCTAAGCTAACAGCAAAACACTCGAATAAACATAAAACTACATATCACACACAAAGTAAGCATTATTATGATCCTAAAAAAGATGCTAACGACAATGCTAACCTGTTCCAAACATTGTTATGTGGTTGCTTGTGTGTTTTAGACAGTAACTTAATATAATAGTGACACTATGCTTGCTAGAAAACATTCTTTAGATTCAAAGACTCATGGAAAGTCTCGTCTTCTTGTGTTTTTGTTCTGAGGATATTGGCCATCTGTTTTTCCCCTCTCAATGAAGGGTTGTAGGCATTTCTGAAAGGAGCGAGGGGAAAAAGGGAGAAGACATTTGAATCCTTTAGAAGAGATCTTATGTTTTATGGATGTATGCAAATTAAACACGACTGTAGCCGTACAAGAGAAGCAGTTTTTGTTTTTTTTGTTTCTTACAGCACATTATGACTCCCCACGCAGAAGCACAATGCCTGGCAGGTTTTCTAAACGAATGATGATGAACAAAATGAACTGTTTGTAATCAAATGTTAACGATGTGTCTACCAAAGGGGAAATATGCTTCAAATGTGCTGCTAGTGTCTTATCCTCCTACTCTCTCTCTTCTCTCTAGAGCGGGGTATTTGCCCCAAAACGTCCCCTTGCAGATGATCTCATATTTGTCTCAGGAGAGCGAGTTTCTGCCCTGGCACGCTGCTAGTCGAGCTCTTTACCAGCTGGACAAACTCCTGGACCGCACTGAAGACCACAGCCTGTTCAGCGTGAGTCTGATCTCACATACGTTTGGTGTCTGTTGGATTTTAACCTTGACTAGTGCAATAAGAAAGACACAGCTGATATCTGGCAGCACGTCTCAGATGACTCGACAGATCGAACTTAAGACTTCCTCTGATCATTATTCCACTTCAGTACAGGCACAATGCCTCTTTTAGAATCTCATAGATGTGAAAAACAGAGATTTCCACCATCGGTTGTGTTTGACTATATGTTCAGAATAGTGTACTAACATATCATACTAATTCTGCAGTAAACAGTGTGCATGTGTGTGGGATTCCCAGATGCAATACTTTTTCCCACAATGCACTGCACTTGACTCAGTCGTCCATTTCCCGTGAAACCTGCACAATATCAGATGTCATTTTGATCTTTTTCTTCTAGATACGTTATTTGATCAGAATGAGAAATGTACATTTTTTGTATAAATAATATGCAGCGTATAATGTGCACTATGCTTGTATATGACAGTGTGAGACAGTCTCTCTGTTATTTGTCCACCTGCTTTCATATTCATTTATCACTTTGTTATTCAGAATAGCATTCACACGCCTACCCACAATCCCTCGGTGCACATGAGTCATTTCTGCCCCTCCTCTGTAATGGACGACCCTTTAGTGTCTGCAGTGAGTGTGTGATGAATTTAATAGCGTCTTCTCTCTGTAACTCTCATTTATTGTGTTTACTGTGAGACAGAGCAGATGTTTAGCATGTAATGCAAGACAGGAAACAGCTGGAGCAAATTAGTCAAGTGCCTTCAAATCATGTGACCAGGTGTCTAAACCTTCATTCCAGTGTGTGTGTGTGTGTGTGCTCCGTCACTAATTATCAAACTGAGGTTACTCTGTTGGCAAAATTATAACACATCACTCAATGTTTGTAGTAACAGCTTGACAAACACACCTGATCATCAGTACGGTCCGCCACAATATGGAAAACAATGTCCTCTAACGCTGTCCCAGTGTTTATTGTGTGTGCTTTTATCTGTGTAAATGTGTGTGTGTGTGTTCAAAGTTGAATTGCAGCATAGCAGGGTCTAATTGTGATCATTCACTCGTCTCAGTAAGAGGGCATGAAGGAGAGCAGTCATGCTAAATTAGCCATGACATCACCTGCTGTTACATTTCCCTCAACCGTATGGAGAGTCAAAACACACACACACACACATGACACAAAACAACATAATATGTTACGTTTTAAACTACATTATGTCTCATTCTTCACAGCTTCTATTAGTCAAATATTGAATAATTTGGCCAGACATTTATATATGTGTTATTATATATTTTAGTTTTTTATCATTATTATTTATCTATTTTTTAAGATGAAAGCTAATTTATAAAATCTTAATAATGAGCAATGGGCTCTATGCACGGCGTTATTTCCGGTGAAGGATTAAGGATGCTCGATAACTTCCGCCGATCGTAGAGTCCAATGCAATACCGAGAATTTATATTGAATTTTATACTCCATGGTTATACTAATGAAACGTTAGTCACAAAAACAGATAAAACAGACACCCCTCGTTGTGTTTATGCTTCTTTTTAAAATTATATTAAATAAACATAACTATATATAAAATTACATCTAAACGTATGTACGTTTCGTTTCAAAGACGGGAGGACAGTAAATATTGAAGACTCTGCCATAATCCCGTTTTCTGCGGTTTTCCTCTGCTTTAATCTCCACAACCGGAAATGGACGAGCATCCTTACGTCAAATGCGGAACTTATGCGTGCATATAGCCCATTTTTCCAGCTCAGTTTTCTTAAATGGTCTGGATATTGTCGGGAATGAGCTTTATACATTTATACAGCAAGTATACATAATAAAATACTCAGTTTCAAGAGAAATGTAAATCCTGGTCTCAACATGGCAACCAGACTCACTAATTCTCTACCATGTGTTTTGTTTTCTACTTTTGTTTGCTTTTTGTTTCGTTCTTCAGGACTATGTTCTAAGACAGGTGGAGCCAAAGTATCACAAGTTGGGCTGGCCAAACGCTTCCCCTGACGCCTCCTTCATGCAGACGGCTTATCAGGCCGAGTGAGTCTTGAATTTCATCTTTAATGAATTATGTATAACACTTATAAACAAGTCTAAGTAAGGACACCGACATTTTAAGTCAGACATTTTCCACCTTTCATTTTTCCCCTTTGTCCATCTTTTACTTCCTGCTGCTGTTCTTCCCTGCTGGTATCCATCCCTCTTTCCTCCTCAGAGAGTTGCAGAGAGAGGTGATCATGCTGGCCTGCAGTTTTGGAAGCAAACACTGTCACCGCCAAGCTGTGACTCTCATTTCAGACTGGATTTCCAGCAACAAGAACAGGTGAGCAAATTTACAGAGTGACAAACACATACTCCTGTCCAAACATATTTCAAAACACCATAATGAACTTCAAGGTTTCACTTAATGCTGTTTTGAGGTGTCTCTTCTGTCAACTCTTTATCAAATTAGTTCAATTTAAATCACTCAGATTCACTGAATCGGCCCAAAATACAGTTTACAACGACTCGCTTAACTAAATCAGATTGGACTGCAACAAAGAGAAAGTTTATATAGTGGTGTAGTTAAAATTGCACATTCAGAAGATTTTTGTTTTAAAAAAACCCTTTAAATGTAAAAGACATACAATTATGTTTTAAAAAAAAATAGTATATTAGGCATGTTATTTGGCTAGTTTTGTGATTTGGTAGCTTGGAAATACAGACCCAATTCCAATAGATTAAGGGTCTGGCATTGAGTAATGAAAATCGCCCCGACTCGAGGGGCGTCACCAAGCATGCATTTGAAAATCTCACTGCACGCAATTGGATAACACTATGACCAATCACAAAAATACGCCCTATACGCTTAGCTACCAGCGGAGCTAACTGGTAGATTAGACTCTTGCCGTATCCGGTCAGCAAAACAGCAAAAATGTTCCCTCTTGCATAAGAACGATTCAAGCACCATCTTCTGTTCCTCTTTTAGAATTTCAAACTGGTGTTCACCCATAGCCATCTTGCAATGTTAACTAATGACTTCGACGTCGCAGCGCTGTCGTCATCTGTTTAGCTCGCCTTTGGCCCGACTACATCAGATACACCGTGATTGTGATTGGTGCAGGTTGGCTCAATTACTCAATGCCAGTGTGACTTGCTGAGCAAATTCAAATTACATGAATAATTTGAAGAAAAAGGACATGAATAATAAAATCATCATTGAGAAACCATACTTCAACATTGACATCCACAATTGTCCTTTTCGATTTGGACAAACGCACATTACATTTCTGCAATAATATCGAGGCACAGTGCTGTGGTGTGTGTGGACACTTTGAGGTCTGTTCAATATGTCCTGATCATCAACACTGCCAACATCCGTACAGTAGGAGCTCTATTAAGTGTCCATGGAAACACACAGTCTGATTTGTTTTCTCTGCTGCCCACATCAATGTTCACATGCATGTATGCAGTCTCACACAGTCAGGCACACCAGCCTTCTGGCAGGCACTAATGGCCATAATGGAGAATAAACAGGATTGTGTTTGTGTGTCTGAAGAAATGTTTTCACCATGCACAAGATATTGTGTTTGCCAAGTTTTTAGGAAAACATTTTTTGGCCTTGAGACAAACAGTTGGCCGCACGCCTACCAACACACACACTGTTCATCACACATTAGCAACCTCAAATACATTGGATATTGCTGGCTTCAAAATTGTGCCTTAAAATGGACAGAACTTAAATACACACACAGATGCTTTATTACACATGTGATGTGTCACATATTGACCTTGACTTAATGTGCTTTTAATGACTTATCGAGGTATCTAATATGACATGAGCTTTTCTGATAGCAGCAGTTGCTCTGTTTAAAAGCTGTTTTTGCCTATATTCTTGCTTTCAACATGTGAAATGCACACACAGTTGTATTCAGCCAGTGTTTGACCTGGTCAGGAAAAGATTTTCCACTCTTTTGCCCTGAAACGGCTCAATTGCTCTAACAGTGGCTCTGTAATTATTACCCCATGGAGTCCAGTGTGAGGTTTCTGTTCGTGTCTGAACTGACAGTCTGTACTGAACACAATCCCTCCTGATAGACGTATCATCATGTGGACAGCTTAGTTTAATTTGCTGACAGACAGTGAGAGCTCATGAAAGGCACCTAAAATGCTTTAGTTTCTGGTGTACGACTGTCAAGTCAACAGATGGAAATAGATTATTTCTGAAATGCATCTGCTAGACTTGCTGCCTTTCTTCTCGAATGTTTTTATGGTATCAGTTGTAGCATACTTTTGATACTATTATAATTTCGACTACTTTTGCATTTTATTGAATGTGCCTTGACTGTGCTAAGTTTCAAATTGTGCCATTTTCATCTGACCTGACAGCAGACGTTTGGATCTGGCAGATGTGTCCTTCATTGTCCTTTCTTCAAAAATGACCTCTAGTCCTGCTGGGAGAATAAAAAGAATCTGTTCAGTTTGATATTCAGGGATAAGCAGCACATAAAAGAGGAATGTGTTGACCTTTATGTCTTTTTATGGTTTAGGTGATGATAATGTCACAGGAATGACCCAGCAGAGTTTATGAGCTGCAAAGAAAGGCTTCAGATCACTGGCCGAAGACAAACTCTGACAAAACCTCCTCGTGTGCTTTATTGATTAAAAACAAGATACCACAGACTGAAAAAAGAAGACAAGGCTGAAAATAAAGAGCGACGCTTCGGTCGAGGGAAACTGACCCAGCTATTTTTTTTTTCTTTGTATAGTGCGTGACATAGTTTTAGTCTCTTTTTAAAACAATAAACTCTCAAACATTGTAAAATACATAAACTTTGTACATTGTTTCAAGAACACACGTGTCTCACAGACAAATAAGGTGTATACAAATCTCATAATTATTTTAATTATAAATGTGTTGCCTCCAAACAGCCACAATATACAGAAAACCATTATATTCATGTTATGATATCAGAAGTAAAAGAGATTGGTTGATTGTGTTCTCTACCATTTTCATTCTGAAAATATTCTATAAGTCATGAATTTTCCAGATATAATGGCACAAATATAAACGGAACAGCAAAAAGGATTATTGTTTAACTGCGTTTCTGAATTCGCATAGGCTTCCTGTCAGTGGCAATCATAAATAAGACATCTCCTTCACAGGTGAAATTTCAGTCTATACGCTCCAATTGGTTGTGACATGATTTTATAACTTACTGAATGTGCCGTTCTCTGTATCGCTACATTGAAAACTCCCAGAGGCTCCGACGGCTCATCCAGAATCAGCAGGTCTTTATTGCGCTTTGTTTGAGCAAATCAAAAGTTCAGTCACTGTATCGCCAAAGCTCCTCCAGAGGTTTAATATTATTTCTTCTTCCTGTACGAATATTACATGCATCGTCTCACAGCCTGAGAGACTTTTCTCTCTGTGTTCTTCTACTGTAGACTGTTATTCTTTTCTGAGATGTATAATCAGATGATATCATGGGTCCATTCAGAGCTCATACTTATAACCTGTATCTCTAGACTATATATATATTCAGTATTTTGCACTGTGATTCACTTTGGGAGGCCTGCTGGGATGATTTGGGTCCAATCTTCCCCACTTAAATGATTAACTTATATCATCGAATTAGAACAGCTGGTGTGTTATTATGAACATCAGTCTTGCTGTGACAGAATTCGAAGTGATTGCGGACAGCAGAAGACCTCTTGAGCAAAAGTGGCCCATTTGAAATCCTAAATCTTTGATTTAAAATTATAGACAACAGACAATTTGAGCGGAGAGAAGAAACCGCAAAAGACACCACAAATTCTCACATACGCGTACAAATAAAAACATGCAAAAAACACTCACGCTGTTTTTCATTGATTCTTCTGGAGGTGAAACGTTGACTTGTGACCTGTTATCTTTAAACAACCCTGAGGACAAAACAAATGTCTGCTGTTTTAAAATAAATCTCTCTTCGGGTAAAAAAGTATTTGTCAGGAATTAGAATAAGAATTAGGTGGGATCTGTCATATGAATCTAATATAAACATCAGTAAATGTTGAATGAACATGCAAGCACCATTGAGTGTGCATATGTTTCAATCAATGTATCCCATTTTTTCACTATTTTCCCTAGACTTCAAAAGTCAATCTTTGTTTTCTATTAAAGTTTTTGACTCCAATTCAGTTGTAAATGTATTTAAATGCTAATGATATCATTTACTAGCTGTGAATGTTTACCTCAAAATATCCAAGCATAAATGTGAATTCAGCTTGTGTCTTCAATCAGATATTTCAATCTTCTGTCCCACAGGATTCCACCTAACGTACGGGACATTGTGTACTGCACAGGCGTGTCTCTGATGGATGAGGACGTGTGGGAGTTTATCTGGATGAAGTTTCACTCCTCTACAGCCATCTCTGAGAAGAAGGTTCTTCTGGAGGCCTTGACCTGCAGTGACAACATCTTCTTGCTCAACAGGTCAGTCGACACACTTACCAACTCATTGACAATAACATCAATTTAAATAACAAGTTACTGTCTGGAGCATAACACATTGCTTAATCATTCTTAGTGGGAAGGTTTAGCATCTAAAACAAATCTTTCCAAATTGCCATTCTATTGATAGCAAGAAGTATCTGTAAGTCTCTGGAGGATGTATGGCACTCCTCTGACTATAACTCTGTTTGAGGTCTGCTGTACCTCATGAAGTAATCCGATTCAATCCCGTCCACCACATCATGTCGCTCACACCAGCAGAGCTGCACTCACTCCTCTGACAGGGCTGTAAAAACAATGGCTGCCGTAGGAGCTTTTCCCACAAGTCTCCATGGCGCCTTAAATTCTCTCCCGACTCAATAGTTGAATGAGGACGGTGGCGGATTACACCCAGTCCAGCCCAGACAAGGATCTCACAGTCCAGTCATATGTTGAAGCAGTTCTCTTAGGATTCACTGTGGGTTTCACATCTCCATTGACAATCGTCATTGTTTTATAGATGCTATGAGAGAAAGAAACTTGCCCATATGAAAATACCCACTGACCCCTCTCTGAAGTGAGTGTTCAGCACTCAACAAGTTCATTTTCATGGGAATCTTTAGCACGAGTCTGTTTAGAGGGATGATGGTGTTTCCCTAGGGTACTGGAGGAAGAACATAAATAGCGACACACTTAACAAGTACACATTTCCATTCATTACATCCAGGCATCTTCATACTCCTATTCAAGGCTCGAGAGATGGAAGCCGGCTCACAACTTCATAACCATTTAAAAAACAACAACTTATTTGAGATATTTCAATCAGGCTTTCATTCGGCCCATGGTACCAAAACAGATATGCTCAGGGTGACAAATTACCTTCTTATGGCAGCTGATTCAGGATCAGCATCACTGCTCATTCTCCCAGACCTAACAGCGGCATTTGACACAGTAGACCATACCATCCTCTGGGACCGCCTCCACAACACAGTTGGGCTGTCTGGAATGGTCTTGCAATGGTTTCAGTCCTACCTTACTGGCAGTACTGAGTGTGTTATATTGGGAGAATGTGACTTCAGGATGCTCCCTGTTGCATGTGGTGTCCCACAGGGGTCGGTTCTCGGCCCAATCTTATTCATTCTTTACATGCTTCCACTTGGATCTGTCATAAGCAAACTTGTCCATGCCTTCATGCCTTTATTTCCACCAGGCTGGACTGGTGCTCCAGAAGCATCAATACATCCAGAATAGCGCTGCCAGGGTCCTAATGAGAGTCAGAAAATATGATCACATAACTCCCATTCTACACTGCACTGGCTCCCTGTTTCATTCCGGATCGACAGCAAAATCCTCATGCTTACACAAAAATGTATCACTGGACATGCACCACCATATCAACGCATTCTCACCCCAAGGCGTCACCTTTGACCATGCTTCAATATTTGACGTTTTAGGCGCCCTTTAGCGTCACTTACATGATGCGATCCTACGGCGTCATCTAACTGACGCTAAAGGAAAGCGTCAGTTAGAAGACGCGGTTAGGTTTAGGTGTGGGGTGGGGGTAGGGTACACGCGATCCTAGGGCGTCATCTAACTGACGCTAAAGGGCGCCTAAAGCGTCAGATATTGAAGCATGTCCAAATGCTTCCCAAGGCGTCAGTTAAGTGACGCCTTGGGGGTGAGAATGGGCTGACCATATCTACAAGAACTCATCACACATTGAGACGCAGGGCAAAAATATGCATAACAGATAACTAGCTTGTAGACCAGGGATTGAGATCCACTTTTTAGGTCCACTTTCCTGCTGACTTTAGCTCCAACCTTGATCAAACTCACGTGCCTGGAACTTTCCAGTAATACTGAAGACCTTGATCAGTTTGATCATGTGTTTTTGATTAGGACTGTTATAATTTTCATTTAATGTCACTGACGGTCAGAGTTTAGAATCCCTGTGCTTGACCATCTTTTCTGGTAGTTTGCATCTGCTTAAGGTGGTTACCCATTTTCCAAAAACACAAATGGTAGCAGCTTTCTTGAGAAAACTGCAAAGGAAAAGCCAAGAAAACTTTTTCCCCCACAACATAAAAGATGATGTATATTAGCAAATGATGTGGGGTGAGAGCAGCAGTAGTGATGTGATGGTGTTGAAAGTGCCAGACATCATTGTTAAAAAAACAAAACAAGCGGTAGGAACACTCACGTGCTAATTAGAAACTGGGACCTATTGCTGCAATGCATGGTGTAAGCTTGGTGTGAAGAACCTGTAACTGAATTTATTTCAGCTCAAAGAAACAAAGTGCAGCTCTTGACTGTCCTCCAATGATTTTTAATAGTGTTGATATCTGGTGCTCTACACTTTTTTTCCTTCTTCCATTTTATTCATGAATTCTTATGAAATAAATGTTTTTACCACCTCTCTGTATGAATCGCACTATTAGTCATTGTTGCTTAGGATTTAGTGTTGTTTATATGCTTCAAATATCTCTCATTTCTGATATTTGTTTTAGTGTCACATAGGATATTTGATCTATTTCATGACTACTGCAGCATTCAGACGTCCACCTTTGCTCTAGTGTTGGACATAAAAGACAGCAGTTCACTGGTTTTAGATGCACTTAAATTTCACGCAGCATACACAAGCAAAGCCCCCCATCCCAGTTGAGCTCTGTGTGAGAGTGTGTGTTTGTGATATTTAATCTACCGAAGAGAAAACTGGCCTGTGTTTGGAGTGAGCTAGTAAACGTGCTTCAATCACTGAGTCTGAAGGATGGGGTGTATGGACTCTGTGTTTAGTATTGATTTTTATGACATGAAGTAAATTGTATCCCCCCTCCCCCATTATTCTTTTTTTTATATATATTTGGATGAAGCGTGCTGTGATGTAGTAGTGGGCTGAATACAATTCCTCTCTGCTAATCGAATGTGTGTGCGTGTGTGTGTGTGTGTGTGTGTTTGCTGAATCTCACCTCTGTTAACCTAGAGATGCTGTGCAGACTTAGAGACTGAATGAAGATAACGTAGCATACTGCTTACTGAATACTGTGAACTGTCTACAGTATACAATATGATTTTAAATAATGTCAATGTTAAAAATTGTAAATTATGGCACGTCCTGATTTTGCAGAGTTAGACTCGTTCCTGGGTAAACATAATTCAGTTGATCCTGGAACAACATTCCTGTTTGAAAAAATGAAATCCTAACCACATCCTTACCCCTAAACCTAACCCATATGTCATTCCTAAAATCAGAAGGAACTGACTGGTGAAAAACACTGATGTAGAAGCACCTAACTCTGGTTGTAAGCCTGAACTTGACATAAAATCTCAAATCTGATTGGTTGATTGGAATGTTGTTCCAGGATCAACAAAGATGTATAAACACTGGGAATGGATGGTCAGTTCAGGCGCATTGCATTATGGGATACAGTATTACACATGGTGTGTTCCATTTGTATACTGTATTTCGCTAAATCCTTCACATATAGAAAATATACATGCTGTGCACAGTGTATTCTCAAGACAATATAAAAATGCTGATCTGAACATAAAAGTGATTATAGAATTAGCAAAACAAACTCTTCTGAAAGCGTTCACACTTGTCCACAGAGGAAGCAGGATGTCACGTTTGCGAGCTGTGAAGCTGCCGTCCGCACACAGATGTGTTTGTCGGCGTGGCAATAATCTCCAGGGTGTTTGTGAATAGGAGCCACAAATGACTCGACGACGAAAGAAAGTCAAAAGCCCAAAAGAGCAGTTGATCTGAAATAAGAGACCAAACCACATGAAGCAATTACCCCATTTGTTATTGCAAATTGAAAACTTGTGCACCGTGGAAGCGTCTTTCTGTGTAGCACCTCATTTCCTATTTCTTCCTTTTTCATCTACTTGACATTTCGCACCAATTTGAATCGAATGGGTCTGTCTGCATTTGGTTTGGGCTTCTCAGGTTAATTACTTTTTGAAGATGCCGACTTATTGAGAACATATTTGAATAATTGTGTTTCGCCAGGCCTGTCAGTGGCTGTCTTTAATGAAAACGAGGAAGAATAATGTGTTTTGTATCTCAGATTTACCCGAGCTTAAAACTAGCATAGAAATGATAGTAAAATTGATTAGAATGACTTAATTAGAAAAGATACGATAATGTTCATGATAATAGCTGTATTTGTCAAATAGCAGCCATTAATATGGCAAGTATTATATTTTGGACCAAGTTCTTCCAAGCATTAGAGCACGATTAATGAAGTATATGTATAATTCATTTAGTGTATTAAAGTTTTGGTTAAAACACATTCAAGATTGTTGATTATTTTCAGTATCCACTGTTATCAGTTCACTTCATTCTATTCAAATGAACCCTCTGCTAAGCTCCGCCCACTTCTGGGTTATTTATGTGTCACAGGAATTAATTGGAGTGCAATTTCTATGGAGCGCGTGATTAATGCGTATGAAAAATTATGTTCAATAAAGATTTTAAATCACTTAATGAAGTTTTACAGTCCACACCATGGCCACATTACCAGATCATTTAAAATAATTCAGCATTGTCAATTATTCCTCACTTATTGTCTTGTCCACAGGCTCCTGAATCTGTCCCTCACCTCTGACCTGGTGCCGGATCAGGACGTGATCGATGTCATCATACATGTTGGCCGCAATCCGCTGGGAAGACATTTAGCATGGAGATATTTCCGTGAGAAGTGGGACATATTGAATTCCAGGTGAATGTAGCTCCTCTGTTTATCAGTGACTTCAACCTTCCTCTCAGTCCCTGAACAAATGAATTTCACATTCGCACTCTCATGTTGGAGGACCACAGTGCAATTTGGGAAATATCTATTGGTTTTCGTTTGCTACTGAGCTCATTAAAATGGTGCTCCAGTGTTTTTAATGACAGAGCTTGAACTCCATGTCTCTCATTCGCAGGTATGGAGAAGCTTTGTTTATGAACTCCAAATTAATCAGCGGCGTGACGGAGTTTCTCAACACTGAGGCCGAGTTGAATGAGGTGAGTCTTGACTTATACACCATCCTCAGGCTTATACACCACCATTCAATCTAAAGCACTAATGAACTATTGACCAATCTTCATGGAACATTAATACTTTCAGAAAACATTGGTCAGCAAAATTCTTGAGAAAAAAATAAATAAAAGTAAACTTTGTTGGGTTATTTCCTCATTGTAACTGCTTAACCATATTACGGGAAATGGAACGTATATTCACTTATTCAAATTCATTCAGCTTCAGTCCCAGAGGACACAGACTGCTGATGCTTCTCACTGCAGCGCAGCACTTTCTCTTCCAGCTGACTTCGTCTTCCACAATTTATCATTCATACAGCGCTAATACGAACCCCCTCAGTGTTTTCTTCAACAGAGCATTAGCATACTGTCATTGACAATCAGCCGCTGCCAGAGCACTTCATCCACAGTTTCACCGTTAGATCAGTGATACTTTCAACTCTGTAGGTTTCAATTGATTGTTTAAAAAAATTCTTTTGATATAGTTCAAGACCAAAATAGCAGCTTAAATACTGAATCCCAGCGCATATTCGTTCATGTCGATCTCATGACCTCGGGAACTGAGAATTGTTTTCGTAACGTGTAGTTTGGTAAATGGAGATTTTTAATGAGATTTGTTATTGATAGTAGAGGCTTTTTTCGACAGACACCCAGGTTTCTCTTCCACAAAGACAACACGGATAATTCTGTTTACTTCAGATGCATTCCCACTCCTCATTATCATAAACATCACTGTTATCTGCTAAATTACATGTCAGGCATTTGCATGTAAATGCGTCGTATATTCTGACGCTGTTTAACTATCAGAGGTGGTCTCTACACACAAAATCTCTATATCTGATCCATCAGACACAATACGTTTATCATGTTAATGAAAATGTTTTATCTTCTCCTCAGCTGAAAGAGTTCATCCTGACCAGCGGGGGAGAGTCGGCACCTGCGTTCGCTCGAGCCGTTGAGATCGTTCAAGCTAATGTAAAATGGCACATCCTGTTCCAGCAGCAGTTTTACCGATGGCTGCGAAAAGCTCCTGACGGTTAACTCAACATTAAGCATGGAGTGCTTAAACTCATGGCCAGTGACTTGGGGAGATATAAGTGAAATGAAAATAAATTTTAAAAAATGGAAAAACTACTCTGGACTCTGAGAACCGGAAAAAAAAGAGCTTTCATTTCCCTGTTCTTTTTAAAACGACCTGGCCCTCACAGACCTGGAAGAAAGGAACGTCTGAAAAACTCTGAAGGAATCAACGCTGGAAATTGCATGGAAGCGTCCTTTGGTATCGAAAGACGATTCACAAGCCATTTCCCCCTCGTATTTTGCATGAAAGTCATTTCCTTCTGCCAGTCATTCGGTTTTCTGATGTTTGACCTTTTCCGAGTCCTAAGAATATCGGATTTGCTTTGAAGACCTGACGGCGGTACAAAGAGATTGCTCTTCTGTATATATAAACACAGTTTAGATTAAGCACAAAGACGTGACAATCATCAGTGTTTTGATTGGAACAGGACGAGGAAGACAAAGAGGAGAAACATTCATGTAGCCTTTTTTTCTCTCTAAAGCCATAAAAGGGGAGTAGACTGAATTTTATCTCTGTACAGATGACATTTATTGTTTGATCAATTGACTGCACTCTGTGGTCGTCTAAAAAAGGGAATCTTCAATCGAGTGTCCGGGTCCCAGTTTAACCCGCTGGTGTCCGGGATCATTCGCATTTTCATAGTGTTGCTCTTTGCTCTCCTGTTTTTGGAGGGTTTGTCCTTGAATATGGTATGTTTGTTTGAGTGGGAAAAAAATAATCAGTGTGTCGATATTTTCATGTATAATTCATTCGATGCAGTCAATGCAGTGCTGAGATGTGTTATCTTTATGAGTCGTGAACACGTGGGGTTCTGAATGGATGGTTATCATGGAGACCAATTATAAGGTTTCCATTGTTTTATCTTTTTTTTAATAATTTCTTTATTTTTTTATGAACATGAATTGTTAAACATGGAGCATTCCTATTGAAAATAGTATCGTGGTTGACCGATATGGGGGGTTATGTATTTTTGACTTGTTTCTCATTGAGAATATTCCAAAATATCCTATAAGCAAGACAAATCTACATTTAAAGCAAAATTGCATACTATAATGCTTTTCAGAGAATATATCTTGAAACCAATTTATGTTTTCTGACTCAAATTGTTTCCTTTGATTGTTAAGCATCTACATGTGCAATTTTGTTTTGTTTAGGCCAATTTATCTTATTTTCATGATGCCCGATTACCAGTTTTATATCTGTAATAAAATGCAGCAAAACAGATGTATAGAAATTCACTGAAATGACAAGGATGGTTATTTTATACAACATTTACTCAAAATATTAAACCAACAACCATCATACTGTGTATTAACGCACATTAATTGGCAAAATCGACCAGCAACCGCTAATCTGAAATTGGTCAGTTATCAGCCAATCAGGCGTCGTGGTCGATATATCAGTCCATCACTAATGTATGTGACTCAGGCTTTGGCAAAACTCAGAATTGAAGAATCCAGTGTCTTTGCTGAAATACTAGGCTATCAGTAAAATTCCATTAGTCTGACATAAGATAGGCCCATTATGTGGAAAATATACATAATTACATAATTCATTTTGACTATTCATAATAATTTAGTACTATCAAAACAGTTAGCTCAGCTAACATCAAAAACTGAAACAAATAATTGTATGATACAATAATTGTAGTCCAGTTCATGCAGTGAATATATTTTTCTCTACTAATATAATATAATTTTTTTTATGGGAAAGCCAAACTCAACCATTTGTTTCTGGGAATACCTTATATACTGTGTGTATGGATGGTAAAATTTACATTACACATTTGTTTTAGGTCATTTATACTGGAAAAGTTATTTCTTAGAAACTACAAAGCGCTTACTGTATGTGAATGTCATTCCATTTTAATTCTGCATCCTCTTTGCTACCTCAATTCCGATTCAGGAATTTAATTGTAATTCATAAAGCATTCTGAATTCAATTCTGAATAGTGCACAACCCTGGTGACTTCAGAGACCATTAGTATTTTCTGTCCAGCTGACTGTGTGAATCTCTCAAGGAATGAAAAAAACTGGGTAATATAGGCCACTTTTTAAACGACTGGCTGGGTATTTAATGAAATCCCCAGACAAGACCCTTTAGTTGGATACTATAAAGTTGTAAGTCGCCTGTGTAATATCAAAATAATCCAACTTACATTTCCAGCCTTTTTATTTCCCCCCTTTCATGTTGTGTTTGACGTAAAGCTCTCTTTTGTTTCTAAATTAGAGATAATATCCTCTGTGTTTTGAGCAGAGCTGCTTAGAGATTTTAATGCTTACAATAAATTCTTTTGTACAGTAACGCATCCTCGTCTAACTGTGCCTGTTATTGAGAGCGACCTCGATCTAGAGCTACTCTATGCCCACGCTGCTTCAGTGTTTCTGCTATTACAGGACATTTCTGTCTTTGGGGCCAAGCATGAAAGGTTTTTGTAAGTTTTGGGGTTAGTTAGGTTAGGCCCAACTTTAAAGTGCCATTTATCTGCTGATACCTTTTTAACCTCTTAGACATGACACGAAATTTGGTCACACTTTAGATTAGAGTCCAGTTCTTACTATTAATTAACTATTAGCTATGATATTTGCTTCAATAAACTCCTAATAGTTAGTAATGTAGTTGTTAAAGTTATAGTTCACTTTGAAATACATTTTTGATATATTTTGCTTGCGCAGACAGAAGCGCCCTCGCCCTCGGAGTACTTGGACCTGGCTGTGTTACAAGAGGTAAAACATTAAAAACTGTTCGTTTTCTCACACAAACCGCTCGTTTCGTGTCTTAGGCCATCAATGTGTACTTACATTTACGAGTCATTAAATTATGTTTAATTTGGACTTCTCTGTGCATGCTTTTTGAGGTGGACCCCATAGACCTCCATTATATGACTCACATACAACAGCGGTTTGACCTAAAAATATCAAAATTGAAAATACTGTGGAAACAAAGACACCTACATCTTGGATGCCCTTGAGGTAAGCTAAAACATATCAAAAATTCATTTCAAAATGAACTATCCCTTTAAGTTTAGGGATTGGGTATATGGGATGTTGAATATTGTCATGCAGAATAAAGCATTCATACTGTATGTTCTAGACCCTAAACTAAAGTGTTACCTATTTTAATTTCCACCCAGAAGATTGGCAGTCATCCTAGATTGATGTTTTTTTTTCCTTCACTACACCTATAAACTTTGTCCAATCTTCACAAGACCAGTCTTGCACAAAACTGATGTCTAAACTTTTGATTCTCACAACCATTATTGAGACTCTAGGGATGCAATAATATTAAAACTTTGGCTTATATCAATTTGCTGATTATTTCCATGTTGTGCCAATAAATAGCTGATAGAATAAATCTACACTGCTTTGTAACATAATAAATAAATAAAACAGTAAATCATTTAAATAAATATATTTTTATTAAAATAATAGTGCTGCAAGTGGGTATCACAACATGATACAATATTAAAGATGGATAAGTATTCCACTTGAAAAAATATCCTCATGCAATAAACGATGAGACGTGATTTAATTATTTCATGGTTATTATACAAAACTCTCTTTTTTAAGTTTGAGTGACTGGCCCTCAAAATGTTTGAGCACAGTCGTGCTTTTAGATATATTTATATCTCTGTTGTTGGCTCAGTATGAGCGTTGACTCATTCCACTGTTTCACCTCTCAGAGAAATAATAAGTCCTGTGATCTGTGAAACTTCAAAAATCCTCAGGATATAAATAAATATTCCACCAGACAATGGCAAACTTTCCGATTATGCTGACATTTCAGAACAAAACACTACAAGAGACCGTAAATCCTTTTTGTTCCGCCAATGCAAATTAATATCTTGCCATTTCCACAATACCTAGAATCAGAGTGCTTTCACATTCAAATCAATGGCGGGATTTGGATTGGATTCTCTCTTATCACAGGTCTTTGTTCCCTATAGAGTCAGAAAAGAAGGGAGACAGATGCAAGCTTGCTAAAAGCCAGACATATCACAGAAAGCCTTAATATGTATCACAAGTCAACACCCTCAAATTGGAAAATGTTAGACATTTTTTACAAATATTATTCAACATATTATTGAACCCACAACACAACAATAGAAAAGACTGGATTTTGTGAATTTGTACAGTAACAAGGAAACATATAAGTCAACACCCTAGTGATGAGGCCACCAAAATGCAGCAATTTTGTGTTCAAAAAACCATACACAATGTAGGAGGGAATACAAGACCTACAGAATCCACTGAGGACAAGATAGAGGCAAAGATTGGCAAGCGATCACATTTGCTGTGTGGCAGATTGTGAGGGCATATGTTTGATCTTTAAAGGCCAATCCTCCTGTGGCACAGGAATCAATAGCAATCTACTGACGGTAACAGCAGCACCAGCGATGTTTTCCTGTGTATAGCACATAGAGTTGTGTATAGCACATAGAGACTTGTTTCCTAAACCAACCCGTTCTGTAATGTTTAAGTGCTCATAATGTTCATTTTAATGTTTTTTCCTTGACAAAACCACATATTCATACCTCTAAAAAGATGTATTCGTCCCTTTACCCTTGGTTTCTGTTTGCTGTCAGATTATGTTTGTTCCCAGTGTTTGTTTTCTGGTTTATGGACTTTAGCCGTACTGTAAAACCCTGTACTTGTCACTAGAGAATTTACTCCTGATTTGTTGTGGATTTGCAGTGTTCACTGTCAGTCAAGGTCATTGTACATTTAATACATTATTGAGTGTTTTAGGCAGGCGTAACATTCATATCAAATGCTACAGTATTCCACTGTTTACTTGCCCCCTTCTGTCCTTGAAGCCAGTGTGAGGTTATTGAAATGCTATGAACAGGAGGTAAGCTGTGTTCCCAGATCAAGTGAGCAAGTGATTTCCCCACAGAGATTTTGAAGCGTTTTCAAGTTGGTAACACAAATTTGCCGCCATTCGACCATCAGCGCTGCTTGGTATAAAAGTGAGCTACTTTATACTGTTCTTCACTCTTAAAAACAAAGGCTCCAAAAAGGGGTTTTCACTGTGTTATGTTCCCCAAGGAACCCTTTAGTGGCATTTTTCCTACCTCTGATTTGAACGCTCTGGTTGAGGGGGCGTGTCTGCTGTGAGACTTCAATGTAAACGCCCACGGCTGTGATTGGCTAACATCTTTTCATATGAAATGGCTAAGCATTGCATGTGGATCTATCTCGAAAACTTTTAGCACGTTCTTACAATTACAGCTCTCAATGTTAAAGGGGTGATGAACTGAGAAATCAAATTTTCCTTGAGCTTTTGACATCTAAGAGGTCATCATATTATAAGAATATCCTGCAAGTTTCAGAACTGAAAACGTCCTTGTTAGTCCAATAAAAGCTTTTATTGACACCAGGCTCAACAAACGACTCGTTTTTCAAAGTGGGGAACTATGACGTCAAAGAGAATAAAACACCACCCCCGCAGAAGATGATCAATGCCTACTTCAACACGGCCGGTTTAGCCTGCATTCGCTGCATAAGCTTCCTCTGGATTCCAATAGGACTGCATGGATCAACTTTATTTTTAATGACATTCCAGCTGATGAGGTAAAACACTGTCCGTCTGTTTGCGTCATTTCACTGAGAATTGTCCTTTAAACAAGACTGGATTTGCAGACCGATTAAGAGTAAAGAACGGTGCTGTGTTGTCTATATTGGATCTGACAGGAATTGTGCAACAAACGGACTCTGGGTCGAACATGTATGGGCGAATCATTCCGGTTGCCATTTTACCACATTGGACGTTTTCAAAACAATTTCCCCCAAGTGCATCGACGGGCAGTGGTGGAATGTAACGAAGTACAAATACTTTGTTACTTTACTTAAGTACATTTTTCACGTATCTTTACTTTACTTAAGTACAATAAATAGTGCATACTTTTTACTTTTACTTCGTTACATTTTGCAGCAATTATTATACTTTCTACTCCACTACATTTCTACAACTGTTACATTTTCGTTACATTTTCTGATCAGTTTTTCCCCTGCCAAAACGTCATCTGACCATCCGTTTGTTGCACGTTTGTCTCACTAGTGACGTTTGGTTGCCATAGATACAGTATATTAACCCGGTCACACTAAATGCGTCTCGCACGCAGTGTGTTTATCATGCAACTCATACGCGAAAATTTGTTTTTACGTGCATAGGAAACGCACCGTGTGTAATATATGTTTGGTTTGGTTAGGATTATGGCAAGCCAAGAGGTTCAGAATTACACCATAAATGAATCGCCTTTACTGCCAAACATAGTTATTAACATATAGTAAGGATAAGCATGATATTGCCTAATTGCAAGCTTGTTTCAGAAATGGTGACATTTTTTTCCATCATTATTGAACATCATTATAGGAGTAGGCTATTAGGTTGAATGAGTTAGAATTAAATGTTTTATTAATCATTAGAAAATAGACATTAAGATAATAAATTGTTATGCAAGTACTTTTACTTTTAATACTTAAAGTACATTTAAAATAGTACTTTTTACTTTTTACTTAAGTATGGTTGTCATTGTGTTACTTCTACTTTTACTAAAGTAAATATTTATCTGGGTATTTGTACTTTTACTTAAGTACTGAGATTCAGTACTTCCTCCACCACTGTCGACGGGTGAGTTGACACTCATTATAATATGGAAAACTGTTCTCCATTCACAGCAGTGAGCGTTTACTTCCAAGTCTTCAGTGCGAGACGCCCATAAAACCCCAGCGTTTTTCAGTTATAGGCTCAAAACTAGGGTACAAAATAGCCTATTGCTTATTCATTTTGATGTTTTTGAATGCAAAAACCAAGCGAACGTCATAAGTTGACCTCAGACAACAATATAATAACATTTTAAAAGCCAGTTCATGACTCCTTTAACTAATTGTGAAAAGTGTTGATTATGGCATTATATTTAGATCGTGGTAGGTTGCAGTGATGAGCACTTAGCCGATCACAGACATGTTAAGTGTCATCATTGAAACTATAACCTATTATTATATATAATTTAATAATTTATAAAAATTGCTGTGCTTTCTGGTATTGCCTTATCCTCATGAATGCTGCATCTTTATCTTTGATTCTTACCAAAATGCTGAACTCTTTTGAAACAACTTTCACATCATCTCAACATCCATGCCCAGTCACCAAAGAGATTCCACAGGCACCTTTCCTTTTTCTCATTTCTCTCGTCTCCCTCTGGAGCGATGCAGGTGATCAATGGTTGTCGCCTACACTGGGCCCTGTGGGATGTCCTCAGAGGGAAACAGATACTCTGTCTGAGAGTCGTCAGACAGTCCTCAG